TCTACCGGCAAATACATTGGCATCTACGCTGCCCTGGGTGTTGTCCAAGCCCTGCTCATGTTCGCCTTCTCCGTCACGCTGACCGTTCTGGGAACCAAGTCGAGCAAGGTGATGCTGCGAGAAGCGGTGCAGCGCGTGCTACGGGCTCCCATGTCCTTTTTCGACACGACACCCCTCGGGCGCATCACCAACCGCTTCTCCCGCGACGTGGATGTCACGGACAACAACCTGACGGATGCCATCCGCATGTACTTCTTCACCCTCGCCATGGTGACGGCTGTCTTTGCCCTTATAATCGCCTACTTCCACTGGTTTGCCATTGCCCTGGTCCCGCTCTACTGCCTCTTTATCCTGTCGGCGTCCTACTACAGGGCATCAGCCCGCGAAGTAAAGCGCTTCGAGTCCGTGCTGCGGTCCAACGTCTTTGCCAAATTCGGCGAGGGCCTCAGCGGGGTAGCGTCCATCAGGGCGTACGGCCTCAAGACGCGCTTCATCAACGACCTCCGGTCCTCCATCGACGAAATGAACAGCGCCTACTACCTCACCTTTTCCAACCAGAGGTGGCTATCCGTGCGGCTCGACATGGTGGGCAACGCGCTCGTCTTCACCGTGGCCATCCTGGTCGTGACGTCGCGGTTCAGCGTCAACCCCTCCATCGGCGGCCTCGTGCTCAGCTACATCCTGTCCATTGTGCAGCTGCTGCAGTTCTCCATCCGGCAGCTGGCCGAGGTGGAAAACGGCATGAACGCCGTCGAGCGGCTGCAGCACTACGGCACGCAGCTCGAGGAGGAGGCGCCGCTGCACACGGTCGACGTGCGCAGCACCTGGCCGGAGAAGGGCGAGATTGTCTTCCGCGACGTCGAGATGCGGTACCGCCCGGGCCTGCCGCTCGTCCTGCGGGGGCTGAGCATGCACGTCCGCGGCGGGGAGCGCGTCGGCATCGTGGGCCGCACCGGCGCCGGCAAGAGCTCCATCATGTCGACGCTGTTCCGGCTCGTCGAGATCTCGGCCGGCACCATCACCATCGACGGCGTCAACATCTCCACCGTGGGCCTGTACGACCTGCGCTCGCGCCTGGCCATCATCCCGCAGGACCCGACGCTCTTCCGCGGCACCGTCCGCAGCAACCTCGACCCCTTCAGCGAGCACGCCGACCTGGCGCTGTGGTCTGCCCTGCGGCAAGCCCACCTCATACCACCCGACGCGTCCCTCGACGACCGCAAGGCGGACCCCTCCCCTTCCCGCATCCACCTCGACTCCGTCGTCGAGGAGGACGGGCTCAACTTCTCCCTCGGCCAGCGCCAGCTCATGGCCCTCGCGCGCGCCCTCGTCCGCGGCTCCCAAATCATCGTCTGCGACGAGGCCACCTCGTCCGTCGACATGGAGACCGACGACAAGATCCAAAACACAATGGCCACCGGCTTCAAGGGCAAGACCCTCCTCTGCATTGCCCACCGCCTGCGCACCATCATCGGCTACGACCGCATCTGCGTCATGGACGCCGGCCGCATCGCCGAGATGGACACCCCCCTCGCCCTCTGGCACCAAGCCGGCATCTTTAGAAGCATGTGCGATAGAAGCGGTATCCGGCAGGAAGATATCCAGGGCGCAAAGGATAGTCTGGCCGCCTTGGATGCAGCCGAGCCGAGCATTTGAAAATTATAAAAGATGTATATAAATAACGCTCACAACGTGGCGTGGAATGTTGGGTATTTAGACATGCTCGGGTAACGATTGAGACATTTGATGAACATTGTACATGAGCACATACCTTTTTTTGGGCCGGGAGGAAAAGGGGGGGCACAACACAATTGTATATAGGTTGTTTACGGCGCACACGATACCATGGAGCTCTGATATGAAATCAACAAGTCGTTTCCATATTCCTTCCGAACAAGGGATACATGCAAAGCCCACTGTGGCAAGCTAGTCACAAAATCCGTCGTACAGACTCTGCATCCGACACTGAAGAAACGGTGGTATTTGCGCTGAGTGAAACGGAATATGTACTATTCAAAAGCGTAAACTAAGGACAGCATAAATGGGCCGGGTTACCGGATTTGCACTCCATCTCTATGCCATGCAGACCATCCTTCGCTAGCTGCCGCATCGCCTTTACAATTCAAGCTCTTAATCGCTCCTTTGGCTCGTCCAGGCAGTGCCGTTCCATCCTCTCGGACGACCGATTCAGGTGGATATGTCGCCCCGGAATCCCTTATTACAAGTTTATTTATATGCACGACAACCCTTGATACGACAAGGTGAAGAAAATGCCGAAAACGCCTTGATTTGATAAATCCAAATTTCAGCAACTCTCAGGAAATTGAAGAACAGAAAAAAAATAGTAAACACGCTGCTTATCCAAGTAAAACGCCTCACTCCGCTTCGCCCTTATCCATACAGATCTGTCAATGACATTTTTAAAAGCGGTTGGCTGGACTGTCGGAACGACGCGGGCCCGTCGAAGGAGGCATATGAGGTGGCGGCAGTGCAGTGGGATCGTCGGTTAACAAATCATCCAGGTACGCACTAGGGGCACGCTGGCCGGGTGTAAGGTTGAGTGAGCTGCTGCTCATGTCCCGGCGCGCCGCAACTCGAGGAGAATCGGGAGGTGAAATATCCATGGTGTTTCGTGAAGCGTTAGCGTAGTAGCCTCGCGAGTCGGGTCGAAGGTTGGACAGGTTAATCGAATTGGTCTGGTTACCTCCTCCTCCGGGTAAGCTCGTGCCAGCAGCGTAGAAGCCAGACGGCAGAAACGTTGAGGCGCGGTTGGCTGAAGCGCCGGTGCCGGCAGTGGGAGAGAAGAACAAATTAGACTGGCTTGGCGTTGCAGAAGGAACAGGCCCGCGGTTGGTTCGACGAACTCCACGGCCGGCAGACGCAGCCGAGGTGGCGCCGGCGCCGGCACCTACAGACATGGTCGAAGCATGATCAGAATACTTGTAGAACGGGGCAGGAGGAGCAGGGAAACCAGTCTTGGTGTCGCCATTGTGCTGGGCCATGGCTGCACGCGCAACGGATCTATGAAGCATGAGGCTGACTATACTGCGCCATAGAAGAAGTGCCAATCCTAGAGCCCCGAGGATGGCTCCGACGGCAATGAAGACGGTCCCATCAGGAAGGCTGGACTGCTGCATAAAGGGCGCATTGTTCGTCGGTGGCACGCTCGGAGGCGGGTATGAGGGAATCACTCCAGGACCGGTCAAGGTGGGAAAACCCGTCAGTTCACCACCGGTCGTGGCCGCCGGGCCACCAGTGATGGTTGCTTTGCCAGTTGGGTCGGTGGTGACAGGAGTGCCGGTATTGGAGATGGAGGCCTTGTCCGATGACGAAGGCGATGGAGTCTCGCTTGACTTTTCCTCTTTACTGCTAGGAGATGGGGACGGCGTGGACTTTCCAGTGTCCTTGGGTGACGGTGTTTCCGAGGCGCTATCGTCCTTGCTTGATGGTGAGTCCTTCTGGCCCATTGCAGGGGTAAGGAATGCAATAGCAGCAAGGAGCACCGAGGGCCCCGGAAGATAGTTGGCCGGTCTCATGATGGCGATGCGATGTGCGGACGAAGCTATATGCGAGTGCTGGGCCCGGCTGGTTCGGGTCGGGGGTTCGTGAACGTCGCGGGGGGTGAAAATTAAAAAGGCCAAGGCTATGGCAAGACGGCAGGGCGGGAGCCAAGGAAAGCGAAGCAAGATAAGTCGGAGAAGGCCAAAGAAAACAGTATATTGTAGAGATGGTGCAAAAGAATGTCGGCTGGTAGTGGCACCAGGAACAGCACCAGCGGCGGAAATGACGCTGGGTCTGGCGATGGCGAAGGTATGGGAGGAAAAAGAAGAGAAGGGCTCGACGGTGCGGCTGTACGGCTGAATGGTGCCAGTGCAGGTAGGTGGTCAGTGTTGTTGCGTTCCAAGTTCCAGGGTTGTCTGGGCGGCTCCCCTTAGAGGTACGTACCGTCCTGGTGAGCAGAATGCGTGATGAGACAGCAGGTACAGCCGCACTTGAACCGTCCACACATCCAACCTCCCCAGGGCGGGCAGTGCCCCACTTCTGTCTCCCTAGCCAGCCAAAAAAGGAATGAGGTGCTTAAGATGATGCAGAATTAAAGAACATGTTCACACTAATAACTGGCCGACATTCAAAAATATTTCGGATGCGAATCGATCGATCTAGGGGCATGTTAAGGAGTACCGACTCAGGCTCCCTGAAACTGTTTGCCTCTCCCGTCACTATTTGCTCTACAAGCCGACATTCGTGCCTGTGTAACAGGTATCCGGTTAGGTCAACGGGATGAAAGAAAGAGCCGTCACGCCCCTCCATTTTTGCCTCTACCACGGGGGTTGCAAACAGCAGTACGGAGTACACGGAGTGGAACAATATGAAATCAGAGGGCTCTACTCGGTATATGATTTAATTCTTCCATCCCTATTTGCGCTAGCCGAGCAGATCCGTGCAGTCCGAGATCACTTATCATCTCGTATAACTGCAACACGAGCAACGACTCTCCACGAGCATGCTAACCTTGGACCAGACAATTCGGCGGGAAAAAAAAAATTTCCCACAATTTGCGGCATGATATATTGTCGCCTTTTTCCCCGCGACCACATGACCAACCGAGCCGCAGGCATAATAGAATAGTCTGGGCCAATCCTGGCTGTATTCCACACTCAAACTATAGATAGCATTGAGAAGTGCAGCTGGTATCGATAGCCAAAACTGTCATATTATTTTGCGTTTAAACTCCTTGATTTATAATTACTTTACTTTTTTTGGCTCTTTGATCTCGGCGTTTTCGGTGGAAACAGAAGCATCCCCAGACACTGTCGCGTGTCCACGTGACCCTGCCGTCTTCGGGGTCATGCCCGACGTTTTGTGCTTCGTCATGCTGCGCCAGTGCCCACCACAGCTTCAAACCAGCAACGACATCCCCATTTCGACGCAACCAAGCACCGGCCGGCGCCGAATCTCGAACCTATAATTGGACCGACCGACCCGGACGTATTTACATCATGGAGGAGCAACGTCTTTGGAAGTTCCGAAAGCCCGAGTGGCTGAACAGTGTCTGGGCACGAAACACGGGCGTCTACGCTGCAGGGGCTCTGGTAAGTTGCAAGCGACTACTATGCAGAGGATGCAAGATACTTTCCTGCTTGCACAAGGCTACACCTATACCCTCGCCTCCGCTGTATTGGAAGTCCGCGACTGATCCGATGGCCATGACAGTTCTCTCTCGCATTCTACGTAATGCTCGACTCGGCCGTATGGTCCAAATCCGCCCGCAACGGCTCCAACGTCCATGTCAAATTTGTTGACTGGCTCCCGCTTGTCTTCTCCAGTCTCGGCATGCTGATCATCAACTCTGTTGAGAAGACACGCCTCAGCGCCGACTCCTTCAGCTATAGCGGATCTGGGGTGGCGTGGAAGGCTCGGGTAGTGCTTTTCCTGGGGTTTGCTGCCCTCGCAGGCGGCATGGCTGGTGGCGTCACGGTGTTTGTGCTCAAGTTTGTGGTACCTGGTGTTTCTATGCCTGCGTTGGGAATGGGCATTGAGAACCTCGTGAGCAATGCGCTGGTTGGGTTCAGGTACGTCTCTCTCGTCCCATGCGCTCGTGCGATGAAGAGTTACTAATGGTGCACAGCTCCGTCGTTCTCTGGGTCAGCCAGAACATGGAGGATGAGTACTCTTACAATCTGTCGATATAAGAAATGCGAGCTGAGGCGGGTGATGCAGGGCGAATGGGCTGAGAGCATAATTCGGGTGGTGGTTTTGCAAGGTTTGATCTTGTCCAAGTGTGGGATGAAACGGTTTGGATGTGTACACTGGCAGCAGCGCTGTTTGCCACTTCAACTAGTTCTTGTTGGCGGAGACTTGAAATTGATATCAAACATGACTTTATGACCCCCATGGTCCTAGTGTAGGCCACCAAGCTAATCGCAGATCTACAAATATGCACGTCGTTATTGACTAGCCATGCATTCTATTCATGTCAACTGTTTGAATCAGGCTTCTACTTTTTATTGGCTAATAACCAACCCAGCCGTACTCGTCGCCATCTTTCGCCTCTAATTTCAACCTCATGTGAGCTGTGACGGGCATTCTACCCGTCGCCTAGCTACCCATGCCCATCGCTCACGGACCCCTCCCTTGCCGCCCCTCCATCTCGCCTTGCATGCCAACTCCATCATCACAATAAACACAAGTTGCACAGCTCGAGCCTCCCACTCATCACCTCGCATCGCGCCGACACCAATCTCGGAATATTCATACAGATTAGCCTAGCAAAGCATCGCCTCATGAGCCAAAGAGCCCAACCCCCCACAACCGGCACCCACCGGCCCCGGGCGCCAGGAGCCGTTGCGTCGGCCGTTCGACCCAATCTTTTCCGCAGCCAGCTAACGCGACGACCGACGCCGAGCTCATCCAACTCGGCGGACACGGTGCGCCTCGACGTGGAAGTGCTATCGGACAGTTCCGAGATTGTGGTGAGGAACCAGCAGGGCGAGATTGAGCTGGGCGATCCGCCGACGCCCATTTTGGAGACGGATGAGCCTGAGGACCGGGACGAGAGCGAGAGTACGTTTCGAGGGGAGTGGGCTACAAGCTTGTGGACTAATTGTTTTTTTAGAGGAGCGACAGAGACTTGCAGAGGCGGTGAAGCATCACAGCATCAACCATAGTACGGTGCCGGATCAACCTGAGGGTGAGTGGGTTTTGCATTCTTCATCACGGTCATGTTTGGTTGACTTTGTTTGTAGAGTTGCTGGAGGCTGTGAGGGCCAGTTTACGCGCCAAAGTCGCGGCTCTTGCGGACGACAACTGGATGTTTGAGGCCGAGGACCAAATTCGATAATGACTCGCTTGCATCTTTGTTTCTCGATTTGAAGCCACTCGGCGTTTTTTTTCCGCTATAACAGACGCCGCTTTTCTATGTTTCCCGGTATCTACCTATGATCCATGGCCATTTTACCTCCCCTTTCGCGTACCGCCACGTCTGTATCTAATCTAGGCCTTCAGCAACAGGAGCATCCGCAGCCCGAATCTCTTGCCTCCGCGGCTGCTGAGGCGGCGGGCCACCGCCGCCGAATAGTCCGCTCATCATGTCCATGAGAGGATTGCTTTGTCGTGGCTTCGTGATGCCAAAGTACATCTCGGCAATCATTTCCAGCGGTTCTGCCCAGGCATCCGTCTCGTTGATCTGCGTGGCGTATTTGGAGATGAGGCCCTTGTAGACTTCTGGCGCGGCACGTTGAATAGCAAGCAGGAGGAGTCCGAGGAAGTTGAGGAGCGGGAGGCTGGGGAAGATTCGAATGTCGGAGCTCGAACTCGACACGTCCTGGACGCCGAGACTGGGGTTGTCGTTGCTCAGGGCGCTGGTGAAGAGGCGGTAGCAGTTGTTGGCGGCTCGGACGTTGCCCACGAGCAAGTAGGGCAGGACGGCCCGTCCGGCAAAATGCGGCGCGAGGTGGGCGTCGCCTTCTTTGTACCAAGCATACTCCATCTTGAATAGAACTTCCGGGGAATCCTTAGTTCCGAGAACGAGGTGTCGCTCCGCTTCGTATGTGTCGTGCTCTTCGGCGTATATGGACCCTGCTACGTGGTGCAGTTCAGGGTCCCCAGCGGGATACTCGCCAAATTTAGATGACCATCTGCATTTGCAAACCAAGTGTTAGCTCAGCAATCTGCCTTGGATATTGTACGACGGGTATTCCCAAAGCCAAGGACGTACGCGAGCATCTCTGTGATGAACTTCTTCCTCGTGGGCTCCTCGCCATCAAACAGCCGCAGACATGTCAGCAATCGTCCCTTGGAGGCCGAGTCCGGGGTCAGCTCTGCCTGCTTGTACACGTCTACCATCATGATGCACAAGTCGCCACCGCTGCCGCCCTGGCCAGCTTTGAGGAGCGACTGCGCAACGTTGGACAGGATGTCGATGGCGGCGTCCCAGTTCTTGGTCTTGATATATCGCGAGGCAGCTACCCGGGTCTGCTGCTGCGCTTCGTAAAAGTCGCCATCTGTGATCTTCTGCTGCAACCGGGCGACGATCTTGTCGACCTTGCTAGCCATTGCGGGTTACTGGCGGAGAATCTGCTGTTAGAAGCGGGCAGAGAGCGGCGGTGTATGCACGGCTCTAGGAGCTCACGGCGAAGGGCGGGAGACAAGAAGCGATTGGGATGATGGTGAAGCAGCCATGGTGGTGACGGAAGCTGGAGAGTGATGGAGGGGCTGTGGGGCTGGGTGGTGGTAGCCGGGTTTTGACTACCCGGTACCTGAACTTTTTTTTTTTCTGCGTCTTATCATGTGCTTGTGGAAGAAATATCATCATAAGTAAACAAAACACTTTTCTACAAGCTTGTCATGCATTACGATGCGTGTTTATACGGTGTTTCCTTTAGTATATTACGGTTCTCTAATTTAAGTATGGCAAAGCACACAGTGTTGGTATAGTTAGGCTTCAGCTGGTGTATACTAGTGTGATTATTAGGATAGGTTAAAATATAAAAAAGAATTAATAAAGTAAATACTTCGAAATTAGGTGGGGGATCAGTAGGACTTGAATAGTAATATGCAGAGATCAAGAAAGGGGCATATTCCTTGATGGTTTGGTGTTGTGGGTTGAAGAAGTGATACGTTGCAGTAAGCGGCTATATCAACCACTTCAGCACCACTGTTGCTCATCACAATGTGCGGTCATAGATTAGCTGGGAGATCGTCATACTGAAGTCTAACTTCAATCCTACGGATGCCTATCTGAAGGTCGTGTGTTCGTGTCACACTCACCGCATCTTTTTTTTAACTGTAAGCTGTCAAAACATGACTGCATGAAAATAGTGGCTATTTTTCAGGGCATAGACGCTAGTGGGATGATTGCATGACTCGAGGTTTACTGCACGTCAACAATTCCGGTAGCAGTGGCTTGACCGTAAATTTTACAAACGGCCGAGGTTGATGCTAACTAAGCCCTAATCGGCCTAGAAACCGTCACTGGTGCCCGCGGGGTGACTGGGGGAGTATGTAGTAAAAGACGGACTGTTTTTTTGGAGGAGAGACAAATTGCCAATTGTTTTGATTAATCTACTCTGAGCTATGATGGTATATACAACAGCCCGCCGATCAACCAAAGATGACATCAGTATCATGATCCTTGTAGCGTCCCTCCCGAGCCACTGGGTATATGAATCATAAAAACAACAAAATAAGTGCTTAAAGTTGTCTCGATGACCGGCGCTCACTGTTTGGTCTCTGACTCTGCGTTGGCATGTCAGTATGCAAGGCTTGCTAAACAGAATTACGCCACCTCCATATGCACTTGCCTATTCGTGTCCACGCGTGCCCTACACTTTGATCAAAATCGGACAGACAATGATCTCTTGCCGTCGTTCTTCTATCAAGCCCCGACTGACCACTCGTGTGGTGGCTGAGGGAGTTGCTGCCGTATGTGGGATGCGATCGCGTCATGTTGGGGAAGGCTCGCAGCATGATGAGGCGAATGGACGGGAGACACGTGCAAATCATGCCGACATTGACTTCGATGGTTGACCAGTACACGACATTCCACTGGTCCCAGGTTGGGTTGGTTGAGTTTGCCCACGAGACGAGCGAGCTCAGTCTTAGAATCGAAACGATGGTCACGCTGGGCAAGTTTCGTGAGTAAATGCCATTCCGGTGGCTTCACACGTTGTAGCGCCCTCACTTACAATGCTCCGAGGAAAAACATGATGGACACGCCGAATTTCTTTGTCCAGTGCAGCCTCAGCTTTGGAATCTGGCTCAGCGGCATGCTGATCATCCACATGTCCAGAGCAACGCTAATCGCGGCATTGGCCCAGCCAAAGGCATTGATGTTGATGCACCTTGCCGTCGCGCGCTCCTCGTCGTACTGCGTCCAGAAGTAGGCGATTGGCGTGCATTGGAAAATCGCCGTGATGACAAAGGTTGTCCCGTAAAGAAGGTTGATAATGACGGTGGCCCAGAGCAATCTCCGTATAGTCGTACCAGGGAAGATGCGGACGTAGAAGAGCGACAGGCTGAGTTTGATGAGAGACAGCTCCGCAAGGTAGAGGACTTCCATGATGTACAGATACTCTGCAAACGACGTCAGCTCGTGCGACGGAAGCGTCCACGTATCCTTGCCCAAGCCATGGGCTGCTAGACCCTTGACGTTGATGACGATGCAGGAGATGCGAATCGCCAGCGTGACCAGAATGACCTTGTCGTCGGCCGCCAGGCCCATGTTTGCAGCGAAGAATTGTTTAAAGATTAACCGGGCAACTACAAAAAGGACCGCGATTGTCCCCAGAGCAATTGATACGGCAACGTATTGGCCGGACCGGTCACGAACCGGGGCATGGCACGACGTAGCCGTGATGTTCTTGGCAGCTGAGCCGAGAAATGTGTCAGTACCAGAAGATTCCCTGTTTCTAAGCAACGATGCTTACAGAGAGCGTCAACCAACGAAGGGCAGTCTTTTAGGATGCACTTTTCGGCCGCATCTTGAATTGGCTGGCTCGTACAGATGCACTGCACGTCTGTCAATGAACAAACAGAGCCCGGTACAATGGCCGTCAGGCATTTGGCCTGCAAATTCACACATATCGAGTCAACATGTAGTCCGCCTTCAAACGACAAAAATTGGGGATACATGGGATGAAAAGAATTCTTACCGCGCAGGGAGGAAGTAGCTCTAGAATCTCGGTGGCGGACGGATACGTGGTATTTGCTCCCGCGTGCTGTGCCAGGGCAAGCGTTGGTAAACAAGCCAGAAGAAAAGCCGTGCTGATGGGGAGACGCATCGTCAGTGCTCCCAACTCATCTTCGAGCTATCTGGGACGTGTGTGGTAGGGTCGAGCAAAGTCTTAACACCTTCTTTTTAAGACCGAAACGCCTTGAGCCTGTCACCATCGACTTGGGATCCTTCGCACAGCGGAGAGGGAGGCAATGCAACGGCGAAAGTAACGTGAAGGAAAAGCCGCGACTATCGGGCAACGAAATACTGAAAAAGCAAATCGAGCAGCATGTGAAGCTGTGGAGAAATCAAGATTGTACGGCTGAGAGATCACATACTGGTCTCGGAATAGTTCCCAAAGCAGGCACGCAAGTTGAGTCCTAAATTCCCACTCGTACGGAACCCTAACTTGCCGCACCCACGGCTCAAACCCGCCCCCCGGGAGCGCCGGTTCATCCTCTCCTGTCCAATAAGGGCTCGGTTCGACATGGTACGACTCAAAGTATCTCAGCTCTCAAAATTATCTTTACCGGGAGGAGGGCAAATGGCTTGAGCGGCGGCGGCACAAACGAATATCTCTCCACACCAGGCGAGGAAGTGTGGTACGTACGAGGGACGAGCTACTGCATGCACGAGCGTGGCGTGGACATGGTCATGTACATATATGTAGGGCACAAGTTTTTGGGAGTCTTTAGGGCCAAGAGGAAGGGTTATGGAAGAAGTCACCTTGAGCCTCTCAAAGACGAGTAATGGAAACCGCTACCGCTGCTCCGAGTGACGACGCTTTCCGTCGAGTTCCCCCAGCGTGGCTTGCACTTGACTGAGTTGCCCCAATACCGTATATAGTAACTGGTTGCGTGCCACGCTCGTTGGTTCCGCCGGCCTCGGTTCTTGTCGAAACGGCAGAGACAATCTCTTGTCTGACCAACTCCGCAATACTCAACATCAACCCGCAGCTGGCCCGTCCCCCAAGACAGTAGTTTGGGAAGCGAGGTGACCTGTCACTTCCACAGTTTCCAGGAGAATGGCCATGGCCCATGACTCGCAGTTCTGCAGCATCCAAGGTTTTTCTGTGGTTCGGGGATGCTCAACCCCTGTGCTTCGACCGGCATACCGTCACAATTCGGGAACTAGTTGCTACGCTCCACAGCGGACCATGGCCGCAACAGGGAAAGCTTTAACGTGAAGACATCTGGAGTGCTGTGTACTCCGTAGTTTGCCGACCAAGCCGCGCCCTCGCTGTTGTGAGACATAATAAGCCGCCTTGCGAAGTTGTGAGAACCAAGTTTGGCTTCATTTACAAGCCCGGGTCTGTGGCGTTGACCACACAGACTATGGAGCGGAACCGGCCGAGAAAGTGTCAATGCCGCCGCCAAGCCTTCCGCGCACGGACTGGCCAGGGGTTGCGGCTTGATGTTTTGAGGAGAAAAGGTGGGAACTGGTAACTACATATAGATCAGGCCTTTGGCGGTGGCCTTTGAAATGCTCACTTCTCCACAGCAGAACGATGCTTGTGTCTCTGACATTGAATCCCCTGCCGTGTGTTCAGACCTTGAGTCGTCATCAAGCCACGGCTGATATCCATTTGACCACTGTCATTGCTCTCAGAGACGAATGAGATGTATGAGAGGGAATTTTTTGGAGAAGCCACTAGGGACGAACCGACCAATGGAAGTGTTTGTGAACCTTTCCGTTGAGAGCACAAGTTAGACATAATTTTCTTCAGACTCGTCTGGAAACTTCCAACTCCGGAGTCCTCAAAACCGCTGTCGTCATGTGATACCGCAGGACTATGGTGTCTTGGCTCTGCTCTCAGAATAGACTTCGGAGGCATATAATCAATACTATGCCTCATGTTCCTGCATCTTTCCGAGACTTTAGCAATACGGAAACATGGGCCGGTGGCTTTCCACTGCCTCCTAAATTCTTCGGAAATGACAATGCGCTAGACCTAGCAGCTCATCTTGCTGCCGTCGATGATCTAAGCTCATTCATGCAATGCTACTGTACAGGACATGGGGTCCTGGTGAATTCTCCCATGATTTTTACTGTGTGAGGCACAACGAGTGCCGGTGGCTTGCGCAGGGACTGCGGCTGAAATATTAACGCACTTGAGGTTCATGAGACATGGCCTGCTTGTGACTGGCACGGACAACTAATATGGCCTCGACAAAAGATATTTGTGCCTACAGTGAGTAAAAGAAAGTCTCCCGCCTCTATCCGCATTGAGTCAGAGATACAAATCTCTATCGGCAGAAGAAGGCGATACTGGAGGCGAGAATGGACATGAAACACAATGGCGTCTGGTCGGCGCGCCAGAACAGGTTTTGTCATTTCGGCGAAGAGAACTTGGAAGACAAGTTAGAAATTTGCTAGTTATAGCGAGAGGCGAATACTATTTGAACAGATTGGATACCTAGCTGTCGCTCTTTATATTATAGTATGTTACAGTATATTAGTGCCTCTATCTTGGTGGGCAACTATATTCTTCCACGAAACGTATCTGCATGTTAAGAATTAACCTTCTCGGCACAGTTGGTCGCGCCCAGTGAGGGCCCCGTGCGACATGCGTGTATCATGGTCCTCGATTAGCAGAAATTGGTTGCAACTATTACCCGCAAGACTCTACCAAATCAGAATCAGGACGAGACTGTTGATATTCTTGGCTCCTGGACACTAAAGAATTCTTGGCTGAGGAGTGCTGGCTCTGCAGACTTGTACCACGATTGGCAGCTATAAATTGAATTGGTCAATGGATCGGCTCGTAGTTGAATCCATCTAGCTACGGAACCGAGGTCTCTTTCACAGTTGAACGTCATTAATGGGTGAGTTATCGAGCTACCCGTTACGTTAAACTACAGTGGGAGGCATCGGCCAAGTCCATTGTGAATAATATCCAGCACCATTCCAGGAGACTATCAGACCTGAATTGCCAACAGGTTCACCAGCGGTAGCGATACTGGGCTGCACCCACCTCGTAGCCTACAACAACGTATCAAGGCCATAAGGGCAGGTTACCACGAACATCACGGCCCATTTGGAAGGTTTCTAATACATTTTGGTTCTTTTTTGATGGAGGATCCAGTGTGGAACTCATCAGTCAACGTTTTGTGACAAGGTACCGCATCCCGTCGGTGCAGTTAAGTGAGAGGGAACATCACCAAAGGCGGGAGATGACTGTGGAAGAGTCTGAGGAATTGATCCCATCCATGCATTCACTTGGAGACGCTCAGAGATGCACCAACTCATGGGCCACCAACGGCTGCTCCATGCCTACCAGGTCCAGTTCCAGCTCCGTCCCGCGTTAAGGAGTTGGATGAGGATATTAAAAGTGTCAATGCAGCTACAAAGAATCGGAAGACCAATGAGACTCCAGATCCCCATGGTCTATCAAGTAAGGTGGCGAAGTCATTCCAGAAACCCGGAGTATATTTTGATAACCAGACTTGGGCGGGAGCGGAAGAAATCCTTGGGTCTGTCACGTCTGGTGAACAATTCACACTGAATAGTTCACCACCTTTCCAGATCCCTCTTCCGGCATGTGGAAAGATTAGGGACCTGAGTATCGCGCTCTATATTATGATATGCTACAGTATACTAGTGTATGCTTGGTGGGCAAATATGTTCTGCCACAGACCGTACTTACGCTACGAATCCGACGGCGAGAGGCTACAAGAGCTGGACAACTACTCACCTTTTGGAGATGCAAAAAGAGGACCTCACAAAGGGCACGACGAGAAGGCGAAGCCCCGGTCTAGAGGCGATAGGAAAACTATCGCAGCCCCAGCAACAATCGGCCCAGGGCGCCATCGTGGTAAATGTCGATAGGAGCGATACGCAGCTTCCGACCATGGCATCTTGATCATCCAAGGCTGATTCTGACGCGTCGGAAGCCCGGTTCCACGACAACCACCGTCATCTACAGCACCGCCAGCCATCGCGGGCGATAGCAAAAGTAAGCGAGCGGCGTGTTTTTACTCGGAAATAGAAAACGATTCGCAAAAGATCAAGCAAAGGGGAATAACGATACGCTACGCAAACTGCCAGAAATGAGTGTGTGGCGCAAAATGAGCATCTAAATGAGTGTCCCGATCATGACCCTTACGCCTCCGTGCTGCCCTTCCAGAAATGAAATCGGTCATCGTATCGCCAGTCTTTTCTTGGATAACTTGCCTAGCTCAAAATCCTTTAGATTCCCTCCTTCCATAAAACCATGGAAATAAGCTGTGCCCACAAACATGTAAGATCCGTCCTCGCGCGGGCGCAAGACCGCGGCTTCGCGTAGTCCAAAAAGAACAAAGATGGCGTCTCCCGGCTGTGAAATGACGGGGCCGAGGCCAAGAAACCTAGCCTTGGACAGCAGCAGACTGCGGCCCAGCGTTTGGCTGCAGGCCTGCTTCAGGATATTAACCTCGTCTAGCGGTCTGCCTGCGAGGGCCTCTTTCACTGGCTGCTCAGCTTTGCATGCCGCACCGACCGTGTTGCCCGACGGAGCTAGGCCAATATGGCGGGACTCGACGGACAACAACTTGGGCGCCGAGGGGGTAGGGGCAGCGCCGGAACTCGACGGCGACAAGGGCGGCTCGCTGGGGTTGATCTCGTCGTCTGCATACCGAACCTGATGTCGGATCCAGCCGCTGCTGGTGCTCAATTGCCCGGCTATCAGTGTCTCATAAACAATCCTCTGCACAGAGCGACGCAAAGCTTCTGGTGTGGCCGGATCGGGAATTGCTCGAGCAGTCTGCAGCCGTCCGCTCGAGGCCAAGTCGTCGACGATGTGCTCCAAGTCCCAGGTCCATTCCAAGTCTCTGCCGCTCTGAGTGGTGCGTCGCTGCAATGGTTCGTCGGTATCCTGTACCTTGGCATCCTGCAGAGTGTCAATTTCGTACCCATTGACATAAAGGGTCCGCAAATCGTCCGAGAAGGAAATGGGAGAGGCGGGTGTCCATTTAAATGTGGGAGGAGGTGGCCAGTACTTGTAAAACCTCCATGTCTCTGGGCCCCTGGCTAGGTCAGCAACCCACGAGGGGTACTCCCTCGGGTTGTCGAGGTGGTCTACGAAGCTTAGGACCTCTAGGTCCTGATGCTCGTCAATGTCACAGGCCAGAGCGGCAGCGAAGACGTCAGCGACGGGCGCAGAATAGTCGGGCTTCAGCCTCGCTCTCGTGAACTCATTGGTCATTCCCAGCAGAGAGTAGATCTTGTCTCGAAGATCGGCACAGTTTCGACGTCGATGGTCGAGGAGGCGGAGGAAGTCGACGGAACCCTTGACTGCAAAGTCGTACTTGATGTAGAGCATGCTCCATGCTCGGTCCCTTGCGCACGACACGCGGAGAGGGTGAGGGAACTGTGTGATTGGCATCTTGCAGTGTGCCAGCAGCGAGATACTGAGCGCCACGACGGGCCACGATATCGTCATGCTTCCGCAACGGAACTCGGCCGTCCAGGCAGCGACCAACTCCTGGACGATCCAGGCTCGAGTCCACCAGGGCCGCATGAACAGTTGCGCCACGGCTTCCCAGTCGTCGTTGAAAGTCGGCTCCAGATAATCGCCGAGGCCGCGCAGGAAATCTTTTTCCACGTAAAGCTGGGGGTCCAGACTCTCCATGGGAACGATACCGGCTTGCTCTAGTCGAGCACAGACATGCTTGAGGAATACAATGGCTCTGTCGCTGTCGCTGGAAGCCTCCCCTAGCCAGAGAATGACCTTGTCAGCATTTGCGTAGATGGCTTGCATGTGCCGCACCTGGTCGTTCTTCTCGGGTATATACATCTGATTAATGCAAATGGCGTCTACCCATAGCGTGAGCGTGGCGCTGCTGTCCCTGAGGCCGCGAAGGGCTATCTCCAGATTTCTGGTGATGGTGTGCTTCGCGTTGTTCACGATGATGTCGCTCGTGACGCTTGGGTCACCCCAAGCATATGAGAGGCCTGCATATTTGCACTGGGACTCCCCTTCCCGGCGCACATGGTGCAGGGTACAGCGTAAAGGATCGTCGCGCTGCCCAGGGTGAAGATCCAGGATGCGAAATGTATGAGGCACGTCCATGTCGAGGTGGAAATAAACGAAAGTCGAGAGGGACTCCATTCTGGCCCTGGCGAAGACGTGCTCCACTTATAGCCGTGCGCGATTAACTTACCCTAGGGAAGCGATGGATTCTCCAATATATACACACCCGGAGTGGAATCGACAAGATCAAATGAACTCCGTGACCACGGGAGGGACTGTGTCAATTCTTGAACCAAATGCGTTATATTTCGACAATGCTGCATGGGTGGTGCAACCCCTCAGCCTGCGGGCTTGATTGCTTACCTTTTTACATTTTGACCGGGCTTCTTCGATTTGACTATACGTGTCAGTGTCCTTCGCGACCAGGTGACCAGCTGAGACAGGGGCATCTGCAGGATTATAATAAGGCGTGGTTAGAAACGTACATCATTGTATTTGATGCACACTTTTGCCGTGTAAAGTCTTATTCTATATACAGGCTTTCCATGTAACTTTATACGTTTAACAATCGGACGTTGATAGTCATGTCCTAGTGTAGTGTTGATGCCCAGAACGTCATCACCATACCAAAACAGCACTGGGACTAGTGTCAAACTACCTAGGCATCCGTTGTAAGCCGTAGGGCCAAAGTTCTAGAGGGGAGACATACATGTACAAACGGACAGTTGAAACCGTCGACCCCGCCTGCCTAAGCTGTTATGTATTGTTGACCTACTTGGGGATTCTGCCTGAGCTGAGGCCATGGCGGCTGACCTGAAGCGATACACCATACATGTATGCCACCTGGCACCGCTCGTCCTTGCTCACCCATGTAATCATCTTTTTCCTCGCGGGGATTACATTGCCTGAAGCTGCTTCGGACGAGGGGTGCTGAATCATTGGCTCCCGCTGCCAGTCCAGATCCCAACTGACTCGATTCAATCTTGCCTTGAAGCACAATGGCGTATGCTTTTTGTCTCCTCTGCTATTACTCTACATCAAAGAAACATGTAGCAAACGTTGTTTATTTCGTTCGATGCCAGTGTTTTCGCAGTGTTGTCCCGTCGTCTTCGCTCATCTATCCTCGCATCCGAGGCAATCCGGGCGCCCGACAGGCGCAACTCAAACCACAGGACTTAAAGAAGAAGCTTGAGCTCTGTGGAAAATTCCATGTAGATCTCGTGTAGGAACCCATGTCCAAGGTTATCCTTGGCGGTCGACATTCCCAACACAGCGATACAGGGACGCGATGAAGCCTCCGCGGCCGCACAAGACTCTCCGCATAGTCAGTACTACTCTACTCGGAGCTGTAATTTAGCAGGCCCACCAGACATGTGATACGGCCACAGCCTTATTACATGCACGTACCCTTATACCTGTTGATTTTTAGTAATAACGCGTCTAGTGGGAATCACGTTACGGCTTTATATATTATCTTTTTATACCTATTATAATAATCAATAAATATTCTACGCGTAGCACTAGCTGTTGCCTTTTACTCTTCTTTCCTAATAATAATTACCCCTTCAAATTAAGCCCTCTTAATCTTACTATTTTTAAGGCTGTTGAATTTTAAAGCTAAAAATAAATAAGATTACTTGACACGTTTATCAAGGTACATGTAGGCCTATTACCATGGTTTCACGTGTAAAACACATTAAAGAGTGAGGATATGAGTCGTCTAGATGAACTTGGTTAGTAGTCATGCATACAGCTTTCTTGGCACGCTTAAATACAACTCCGATGAGACCTATTGACTCGCCGCAGTAGCACGTCACTGCACGTGGGTGAAAAAGCACTTGAAAGACGCAGAGCCGCGTAAGGTAGTATCTCGAAGAAACGCTTGGATCCCTCTTGTTTTCATGGCCGACAAATCGTACGCGACCAACAGAGCCCGCCCGGGTCTTCTTGACTTGGCTCGTTTCTCGCGTAAAGGCGGAAGAAGGGCGCTGGCGTCGGCATGTTGGCCAACACGGGCCAAAAGTCGGAGTCCTTTGCTAGACATGGTGGTTATCCTCGCTACCTGCGCGGCTTTTTCCTTGTCAGGAAGCTCGCTCAAGTAATGCTTGCATTTCTGCCGTACTCGCATACGCTTGCTATTAACTAGAATTTGTATCGTAAGCAGCTGGTCACCCCTGGGATACGGGATAGTGTAATCGGATGCCGCGCTGTGCTCTGACCATGTCGTAAGCTATCATTTAAATTTGGTTCGGTACATGTTTTTTTTCTTTTTTCTTTTTTTTTGGACTCTGAACACTCTCGAATTGTCATGTGCCCTACTATCAGCGAGTGACTGGCACCACGAGGTGTCATATTTTGAGGCTTAGTGCGGGCGTTATTAGTCTGGTATTTCAAAGATACAAAATTATACTTATTTGCATAAGAGAGAAAATATTATAAATCATTTACATCTATTAAACCACGATCATATAAAATCTTGGCAATCGGGTAAACGGCCCGTGCAAAGTTGCTTCGCCTTTCCAGCACATAACGTGGTGAAATATGATCAAACCCCTCGACTTTGGTCCCGGATCGTTTTGTACCAAAGGCATGAAGGATATACGTCCGTGACCAGTTGGTCGCCCACGACGGGGTGCTCTCAGAATAGTTGCCGGTGCCGGGAGAGTCGGCGCCATACGACGGCAGGCGGCCACCAGGATCGATACCTTCCAGGCTTGAGGGTGTGTCCATGTGAGGCTCATATAGCCGAGTCAGGTCCTCGGCTTCCCAGCTACCGGGACCGAAGGCTTCTCGTTCCATGATGAGCATTTCGCCGGGCTCGGCCACTAATTTCTCCCCGACACGTGTTATAACCTCATTACTATGAGTGACCCAGCCGCCGTCGTATACTCGGGGCATCTCTTCGGCCCAAAGATTAATCATCTTGCTGCCTTTTCTCGACATGAATGTGCCCGACATTACCTGCCCCCCAAGCTGCCTCCCGCCAATGGCATTGAAGCCGGCTTCTCGAAGCACCTTTATGTCTCGCAGTGCGTGTGCGTCAAAGTCGATGTAGGTGCCCCCAAAATCTCGGACGGCCTGGACCCGGACGAAGTCTGATTTGTGCTCCATGAGGTTTATTTCCGCCCCGTTGCCAGCGTGCGTCGGAGATGTGGCGTGCTTTACTTGAAAGCCCGGCATGCTAAAGAGGAGCTTGCTCCATTTCCCGGATAGTCCATCTCGCGCTCGGCTGATGGTTTGATTCGGGGCATCTGTGTGCAGGTATATGGCGTCGGGGTGCCAGTAATGCCAGGCGGCGTACACGGACAGGAAGGCGCTGAAGTCAAAGGCAAGCTCGCTTTCGGGGTCTTTAAGCATGTAGACAAAGTGAACCAAGTTGGGAATAACGCGTTTCGAGGGCTTCGCTAGATGAGGTTTTCTTTCGGGGACGTCTTTGGGCGCGGCGACAAGATGTGTGTTAGTAGACGGGAAAGCGTAGAGATGCCAAAGCACCAAGAGGGCGATGGCGACGGTGAAACCTCCAGAGATAGGGCGCAATAAACGATGAAATGATGATCCAGACCGAGTTTTAATCATTGTAAAACTAGAAAAGATTGCTCTCTAAATCTTTTACCTATACAGGTAAAGCATATGGGTGCTGCGAGTTGGAGAATGGTTCAACGAAGATTCTAGATGTGCAACCTATTCTCTGTATTTATAAACCATTGCATAGTAGCAAGGGCCGCTTGGATCGCGTTTGATGTTGGGTTCATTATGACTCGTATGGCCTTGTATAGTGCCCCCCTGAATGTTTCTACATGTGTGGCCTGTTAGGGGGTTGATAACCATTAAAAAAAGCTTTTATAAGAGAAAAGTAGGTATAAGAAATACCTGAGATTTCCCGACATTTCTCAATCAGTTGAGGGTTTTATTATAAATTCCTGTAAGCCTTTTAACACTTTACCACTTGAAATATATGGATCATAGTGTATTCCCCCCTGCTTGTAGCCATGAAGAAACATTCAGGGGGGGACTGTATGTAGATAATGCCCTGTAACATAGCAGGGGCTACTAGACCACGTGTTGTTTCATCTGGAATATGACTCGTACAGTTCCCTGAGTCAGCGAAGGGGTTGCATGCCCGTCATACGTAGTTATTCATGCACGTAAGCCACGTTACATTTTATCTAGATAACGACTCGTAGGGCAGCGCACGTGCCGAAAAGGCTAGTGGCCACCAGACATTAAAAGTCTCGGCCCAGACATTTAAAACCATCGATAAGCGTAGCCTCTTGGACATGGCCTAATAACCAGACTCCATCGCAGTTGGCTTGTCGAGCATTGACCCCATTTTCTGTACCTATTTGCGTTTAGTCCCACGCATACCACCTGGCTAGTAGACTAGGCTCGTCTTTGCGCCGTGAAGAGGTCTGGTCTGGTCTCTCTCAGCAGCCTCGCGACCTGCGTGTCTGCTCTGGTTTAAACGCGCAATTTGGAATCTCAAAACATCTACCGCCAACAGTGTTGACCATGTCCCCTTTGACTATTGACTCTCATCTCCGTTGCTGGACTGAAAGCTTTTGAGTGGCGAGAGATTTTTGTTACTAGACATTGATGGATGTAACCAGACATGTCTGGTGGCCCCGCCACCGAAACAGCAGGATCCACCAGACATCTGAAGGACACGTACCGGCATTGAGATTTGAGCTAATGGTAGTAATTTAAGGTTATTTAAATTAATTAATTAATTAATTTGAATAAATTAATTAAAAAGTTCACTTTAAATTATATGAATTTGTTTTTTTCCTTCCAATACAGACAGTAGTACAAGTATTAGGCAAGCATCATGCTCCGTACAAGCGTTCTGGAAAATCAAAAGACTGGTTCAGCAAGGTCAACTGGTCAAACTCAGCTTCAACAGGCAGGCTCGAATTGATCCGCAGTAGCAGCAGCATTGCTTACACCTATGGCAAAGGCTCACGTTGGCATCGGACCTAGTATATTTCGCTCACAAGATGAAGACAGCAAAGAGTCAATGTACATTTTTATTCTATTACCAGCTAGTCTTTATAAAAAAAATAACAGACAGTTACTATTTTATTATCGCTAGTGAAGCGGGTTAAAAGGGGCGTGTGCATCAAGCTGCGTAATTCAAGGCCCAAGTCGCACTCGGACATATTTAGCAGCGTCGCCTCTAGCTTTGCATTTTTTTTTTTTTTCGTAATATAATGCCGTGGCAGTTAGGCTCAACCGAGGTATATTCCAAAAGGGCTGTAACAGCATCAGCCCGATCAGAAAGGGAACATCGGCCGAATTATGTCGTTATCCCGACACTCAATTCAAGTCATACTAGCGGGCCATGACGATCTTAATCCGAAGTGGGTGGCTGAGAATGCTGCGGTTCCGTATGGGCCTTACATTAGCTCAAAGTGATGAAGCCAACGTGAAGCTGCTCATTCAGAGCCATCATAAATTCCTATTGCTCCCCGGGGGTTAGTAGCAGTTACTGTAGTGCTCTAGCTCTTGTAGACAATAGAGAGTCCCTAGTCGTTCCATTATGTCAAGTTGCGTGACGGCTGTTGTATCTGCGGCATTGAGTGCAGTATTACAGGTCGAGCCGCTTGAACCCAACTTCCCCCGAGCGGGTTGATTCTAGAATATCCTGTGGAGGCGTATGGGAAATATGTAAGGCGCTGTAACTGTGCCACGGACTATGTAGGCTTCCTTTCTTGTTCCACCTTTGTAGTAAACAGCTTAGGGACTAGTTAGTTGAATCAGCTCGCTGGAGGCCTTTCACAAGCAGTCAATGCTAATGGGGGCTGTACTTTAGCTTGGTTTGAAAATGCTGAACAGCCCTAAAATTATTCCAACTCATGTGAATGCAGCCTCATTACGGTCAGGATACTCTGGTGATTGCTAGGAAATACTACGCCACCGCTTGCACGCTAGAGCTGTGGATTGCAAGGGGCAGAATCATCCGAAGACTGGGAGTCCTCGGGCTAAACAGCTATTATAGCTATCAGAATATCTACTTTATTTATTTTTTTTGAGAGAAATCCATAATATTTCATATAGAATTAGAGTTCATCTTGTCAGGGTTCTCGTGTGCTAAATGCCGTCATGCGAAGCACCCACACTTCACGTTTCTGCTTTCCACAAATTTCTTACAACGAAGCACGAATTGTAATCTTGGGCTGATTTTATTAACGTGACAGCTCTGTATTTAAGTTCACAGTATCCTAGTCATACCAAGTCTGTACTTTTGGGAATAATTCAATCAAGGAGCGTGAAGAATGGTAAAAGAGGACATGGCGACATGCCCACATTTTAAAAGTTCAAACCGATTCAATCCTTGTGCCTCTGCGGCCGTCGGATTTGGCATACGCTGTCTTAGGATCCAGAACGACAGGAAAGGGGATATGCGTGGCCAGTGTAATCGTTCTTACGGTTTTCAAACGTCTCGCTCGGTGTCTTGATAGTGAGGTTAAAGGCTGACGGGCCCTGCCAATCTCCCATGACGCTACGCAGCGGATAGTACGCATCCTTGACCAAATCCAGATCCGCACACTTGATGCCATTGATATAATTGCCTCCAGTGGACACCACGAGTGGCTTCACATTTGTGTCGACTTTGCCATCCAGGCAGCTGAAAGCGTTTCCGTGCCCGAAGAAGACGTCGTTCTCGTTATCAGCGGTGGTGCAGAGAGTGTACTTGCCGGTTTCAGGAGCACGGTAGAAACCGCTGTACACGAGGGTAAAGTTGTTGGCGTCAACCACAATGCCGCCATTGGTCTGCTTCGTCCAGCCGACGGCATACCAATCTCCGGGGAGGTCGGGGCGAGGATAAACTTTGGGAAGGTTGGCAGGAGGGCCAAAGTCCTGAGGGAAGAAAGTGACGTTTGTGATTGAAGATTTGAGAGGCTTCAGGTTCTGCGTGATGTAGTAGGACCACGGGAGGGAGTTCTCTCGACTGTAACCAGCAAAAGGGTTGGCGTAGTAGTCGATGTCGAAACCATCCGGGCGGCAACGGGGTTTAGTGATTGGGCAGGGCCCACCAGGAGTTGCTTCTGGGATCTTGGTAGTAGTGGTGGTGGTTGTTGTGACTGGCTTCTTTGTGGTGGTTTTAATGGTTGTGGTTTGTGTTGTCGTGTGCCGAGATGTTGAAGTAGACGGCGGCTTACGCGTTGTGGTTTGCGTCGGGCTGCACGTCTCAGTGATTAAAGGAGTCTGTATGACTAGAGTGGAGAGGCCAGTGCCGCAAGGAACAATCGTGGTAGATGTTGTGGTACTTCCGATGTAAGGAATGGTAATAGTTGTATGACACTGCGGCGGGTTCAAGTGGTCCCCTCCATCAACGCCAATGATGGTATCATGATCCAAATCAACAGCACTGGCAAATTTGAAGGAAAGCGCAAGGAGAAATGCCGCCTTGGACAGCTGAGATACAGTAGCCATTGTAGCCAATGTTGATGTAAAAGATACAGAGAATCTTGTTATGGTTTCGATCCTGGCTTGAACGAAATCTTCAGTACCATGGAAAGAAGACCCCTTTGGCCACTTTATATATCAGTTTCAGGACAAGGCCTCAGATTCTAAATGTTTATGCTGCTTGCGTATACAGGAGGCGGGAAAAACTTTTTAAGAAATTAAGTACCTGCCTATCGCGTTCTATATCCATAATATAGTAAGGTATATTAGTGTACACTTCTTTCTGGGAAAATGTATTCCGACACGGACGTATTAGGACCTGGATGTCTTGAGCATTGACATATTGACTATCCATCTAAGGAGTGGTTGCTTGAATATTGGGAATATTCTCAGGGGAACAAAAATATCGTCACCGTCGCCACAACTGTAAATCGAGGCTGCAAGTCACTTCTTGCCGGGGGAGTGTATGCAAGTGCCTGCATTAAGATAACAGTAAGCCAAAGAGGCTCCAGCTGAAATTACCACTTGAGGTCACAATGATGACAACGGATGTGATCTGCACATGTAAGCGGAAATCCACACCGCAATGAGAAATTTGCATCACTCACCAGGGCTGAGTGACACCGATAGTATGCACCTTCTTAATGGTTGAATAGCCTGCTGAAGTCAGACATGCATAGTCTGCCTGAGGTCCTGGACCGCTGCAGCGTGGACGCGGCTTATTTGACCGTATGATGTCCGGTGGTAATAAAACTTTCTCAATAAAGAGTGGTTGAGCCTGAATTACTTTCGAGAATGAAGGATAGTCGGCTCAATAATGTACATCGGTCCGATTGTTCTCCGCTATCATTACAATGCGGCAAGCCACATCGCGCCTTGCCAGGTCGCTCAATCCTGGTGTCGTGAATAAACTTGGGGGCTGTTTTTCGAGTCATTATGCGTACAGGAACGGGGAACGCTGGATTGTAAGGCCGCCTGAGGGTAGTGATGATCATATCCAAGCTTTTTCTTGTCGATTATCGGTACCGACGAGGCAATGGCCCGTGTGGTTGACATGGTGGTCAGCACAACGCGTGGTGTGGCGAGGCCTTTTTGTACAGCTTCAGTAGGCATATCAAGCCTTTCCACACAGCCGAGTTTTCCAATCCACCACCCATAGCTCTGGAGACTGCGTCTAGCGCGCTCGCTCGTATCAGCTGCATCCTCCATTTGGAAAAATCATTTGTTTTATGATGGATGGATCGTGGGCCGCATGCTTATTAACCGGTACAGGAGCTTTGATATTGTGGTCTCGAGGAAGGTGTTCCTCATATGTGACAAGTTGATACAGACCCCGAATGTCCAGCATCTTTTATTGGGCAGTAATGCTTTTGCTGCACCATCCCCACCAGACTCCCTACCTGAGTACTCCGTAGACTTGAGTACTCAAACAGATTGCTGCTTGGCTTTGTTGGTCTCCTATGCCTCCTTCACTCGGATGAAGTCAAGGCAACGCAAGAAAGGCGAACGTCTTGAGTTTTCGCCCTCTCTTTACGCGCGGTTTATGAGATACCTTTACTAATAGACGCTAATTTTAGTGTTGCTAGACATGGCAGATCTTCCTCCCGGGTCAATCCCACTGAACAACAACAGGGGTGGAAATCGACCTGTAGACGGGCAGATTATACGCTCTCCGGTCTGGGTCGGAGTTGACAAAGTGTGCACTGACTTGTTGGATGCTGCAGACATTCGCAATTTTGTAAGGTGGACGCCAAATATAACCAGACATATTGGTATGTCTCTATCCGACCACGCCAGTAACTGATTTGAAGACTGATGGCCCAGACGCATATCTGCAAAGACTGGATGACTATTCCGCCGGGCCACAAGTATCTCGCGGTCCCCATTTCATTGCTGAAGGGAATCTAGCAACATAGCACAGAGGAAGGCGAAGTAGATGCGAACTGGCTGGAATTAGCTCAAGGCCTCCTCTGGTTGCCGTCAGAGGATGCTTTCAGTACCTGCGGCCGCGCTGCAAGCACACCTTTCCTAGCCGTGTGCAGCAACTTCGTTCGTCCGTCCCGGCACAAGTATTACACGAAATCGGTTGGACTAGAAAGGGTACCCTGAATGATGACATCTTCGCCAAGATCCAAGTTGCTGTTGTATTCGATGACAGCAGCGTTCTGGACCCCGAAAAGCTGCAGCTTTCGTCGCAATCGGGGGTTCAAAACGAAGACAGTTCCTACGATAGCGGAATTGGTTCGAGTCTACAGACTACTTCACAGGTCACTTCAGAAAATGCAAGCTCTGGCAACGAGAGTCCCAATGCTGATTGTGCTGGACCATCGGGCGACAGCAAAAGCTTCAGTCATCTCAGTTAAAATTTCGACGTATAAACGTGATGCTCAGGGAAGGACAGGGGATAGTGAGTTGGAAAGAATTGAATACAAATTGCTTGGGATATCGAATAATGTTGCCGAAGAGCACTATCATTCAACCTCCATTATTGCAATTTCTTATGCTGCTTATTAGTCTTATAAAATATAGCGTTCGCTTTCACTAGATTAATCGAATTATTTGGGAATATTGAATGAATGATGAGTGGTCATATTGAATGGAGGAAGATTCTGATATTACTCAAGGGAGCAATAGGAAACGATATGGCAAAGCAAAGGATCTTTTGGACTAGTGCTAATATCCGTATAAGGGCAATGTGTCAAATCGTGTTCCGCCTACCTAGACGCGATTAGTTGAAACATGAAGCGCAACTTTCCGTTCTATATAGGGTCGCGTGCAATGAGCCTAAAGTATCCGCGTGTTTAGAGGACAGGAAGTTGTTAGTGCGTTTCCAAGGGCGAGAATCCTTATCATACTCTTATCAGCACATGACACTGCTGGCTAAGCTCCGGCTATCAGCTGACATGAGCTACGTCGACCGGACCAGGAACCAACAACGCATCTAATCTTCCAACCCATCGGACCTTACAGGCTAATCTTTCATGCGTGTACATTGAGTCTGGCCGAGACTATGATTATTCAACAGTTCTCTATCCTCTGATCATCAGCCCAGGCTGGTCTTCATCCTGTTTTGCGGCGTCTTTGTGGAGAAGGGGTTGTTACTCACCTGGTAGCCTACATCTGCAAAGATGTATTCGAATTCTAGCGCGCGCAAGTCCGTCGATACTCTGTCGTCAGTCGTATCTCATTATGCACATCAAAAGAATTTCCCTTTCCATAAGTATTACTCACGGGATGCGTTGGCAAGAGATGGAGACTAACTGCTCCGCAAGGCAAGACTCTATATGCCCGTATTCTCATACAAGGCTCGGCTCCACGGCAAGCTCCGCGCATTCAATCGGAGAATGGCTGGATACACCGTCAGATAGTTGGGCCAATGCTGTATTGGAAATGGGGCAGAATGGTACGCTGGAGCCCTCTCATCTTGTGTTCAAAGTATGAGCTAATACGTTGCAAAGCGATATCGACATTATTACAACCGCCAATAATACGAACAGGACTTCTGCAGCATAGTTCCACTCTAGAATCAGCCTCTCACAAACCTCCAACCACAAAGGATATCCCTCCAGTGACACTGACAAATATCCCACACGTTGACGCAGCTGAATTCAAGCCCTATCTAATTCAAGTCGGTGCATTATACGAGGAATTGCGAAGAGTGAAGGAGACTGAAGATGAAGCGGTAAATATCCTGCACAGAAAGAGCAGTAAAAAAGACAAAATAGTTGCCGTCTTCGATGACAGCGATCTACGGCTGGGAGAGCGGACATCAGGATCAAGCAAAGGCTCTGCCCCCTCTGCATCTTCATTCTCACCAACAGAAGCGCCTGTTCCGGCTCGTAGATCTAGCTCAGGACTTGAAACAAGAGCGACGCAAGGACTACCGCCATTATCAACAATACCTTCTGTCTATTTCAAGCAAGACTTTTGCCTGGAAAACCCTCGCACCTTTGACGTGGTCAGTGAGAGGTCAGAGGTTGTTCGACCAGCACCAGGGACGCTGAATGAAAAGGCTTCAGCAGAAGGAAATGCAGCGGCACCACGGAAAGCCCTGGCAACAAATGCGATATTACAGGAAAAATTGTCCTGGTATATGGATACGCTTGAGATGTATCTCATAGCTTCCATTTCAGTGGCTTCCACGGCCTTCTTCACCGCGCTAGCTTCGCTACAGGACCTTCACTCAGAAACCGCTAACTCGGTGAGGAAAATAAAGGCTCTCAGGAGAGAGCTTAAGGCTTTGGATGAAGAGATTGCAAGCAGCGGGTTAAATATTGCCAAGAAGAGACAAGAGTGGCACAATATCCAACAGCTTCACGATGCAGTCCAGCAACTGAAACATATCATTGATAGCGTTGCTACTTGCGAGTCTTTCGTTGATAATGGAGAAGTGGGGAAGGCTTCAGAATGTATTGCTTCTCTTGAGAAGCTCATTGCCGGCGAGTCGGATCTTTCAAAGACACCATTAAAGATCGATGGACAGGATCTCCAGTTAAGAGACCTTAGAACTGTACTGGCGGTTCAGGAGGTGAATTACGATTTGAGTACTCTAAGATTCCGAATCGGCAAAGCTTACGAAACACGAATTTTGAGTCTCCTTATGGGAGATCTCCAGCGCCACTCTCAAACTGTCACCACGCAGGAGGTTCTAATGCGTTGGACCAGTGCTTCACTTCGGTCTCGAAGCGGCCATATGCAGGAGCCTTCTGTCTTTCCATCCTATATGGACTCAACCGATAGTCTTCGCTCCGAGCTACTGAAGAGCTTGACCGGCTTGCATCGAGCAAACCACATCACTATTGCCGCCTCCGCCTACAGAGAGACCGTACTTAAGGAAATGCGCAATCTAGTTCGGCGATCTCTGCCTAGTTCAAACGAAGATGACGAGTCAACTATTTCTTCGTCCACCATGACAAGGAGACAGTCGTCACTGCAACAGAAATGGTCTATTCTAGCTCATAATCTGCGAGCTCTTGAGCCGGAAGACGCTGAAGACCTACTGGTTAAAATTTATATCAGCGTCACCGAGACGTTGAGGCGGTTAACGACACAAGTCAAACTGCTGTTAGACGTTGCCAGCTCGTTAAGTAATGACTCTAGTACTTCATGGCTAAGATCTGCTTGGTTAGAATCGCCCTTGAGTAGTCCTACCCCAGGGAGGTCTTCAATGATCGCTGCACTTGAAGTACAAGAAATCCACAAAGCTATAGACCTACCAAGTCTCCTAGGTGAAGCTGTGGATGTTGCGCAGGACAAGATTGTTAAGCTCCTGAGGGTTCGTTCAGAGCAGAATACTCGTCTATCACTAATCTGGTTTCTTCGATATTTTACTCTAAACCTATACTTCGCTAACGAGTGTGAATCAATCTCTGGACGGAGCGGGACGGCCCTTAAGACAGTTATCAATGTGCAAATTACTGACTTTATACGGCAGTATACCGATGAGGAAAAGCATAAGCTTGCTCAGGGTATGGAGCTTGACCAATGGGAGGCAAAAGACTTTTCAGAGAAAGACACGGCCGAGCTTAACAGGATTTTATCCTGTAGTACGAAGGACCCGTCTGAATGGTCAGATGGTCTCAAAATCTGGGTTCCATATTCAGATGACGATCCTCATTCTAATAAGGCTGATGATCCGCAACCCAACAGCGATGATAAAGCCAGGAATAGGAATGCGTCTATTGATGAGGAAATATTCGTACTTCCTAAGTCTGCAATTCTTTGCATGCATGGCTTAGCCCACTTGTTGCAACTGATGGTTAGCATCCCATCAATGATCCCAGACATCGGGCCTTCACTAGTCTCCTATCTCCAGCTTTTCAACTCACGCTGCACACAACTCATCTTGGGGGCAGGGGCCCGACAATCCGCAGGCCTGAAGAACATTACCTCAAAGCATCTAGTTGTCGCATCGCAGTCTTTGGCATTCGTAGCTAGCCTAATCCGCTGTGTCCGCGAGTTTCTCAGACGCCATGCCGGACGTACTGCTGCTACCTCCTCGAGTCTCGTGGAACTTGACAAGGTCGAGCGTCTCTACCAACAGCACCAGAACAGCATATATGACAAGCTAGTCGAAATCATGAGTCGCCTGGCCGCCTCACATGTAAAGACCATGAAAAATATTAACTGGGACAATGGACAGAAGGATGTGCATCCATACATGACGGCATTAGTCAAAGACACGACCTCGTTGCATCGCATCCTCACAAAGACTCTACCAGAAAGAACTGTTCGTATGCTTATGACTTCAGTGTTTATCAGGTATAGGGATCAGTTCGGCAAAGCGTTTCAGGAGGTAGATGCCAAGACGGTATTAGGTTGGGAGAGGTACGTCTATGCCGGCCCGAAGGAGCTCACGACATGTGCTAATTTGGTACAGCATGCTACATGACATTGAGTTCTTCCACTCCAAGCTTGGCAACATGGATGGCTACGATGATACTGGAGAATACCTGACCACAGTTGTCAAGTCCAAGCATGTCGAGACCGTAGGGCTAGCCAGTCGAGCGGCCGCCGAGCTAGAACAGAAGGATACTGAAGACGCGGTTCATTAAGCTGAGACAAGGGATAACTCTGAAGATGAAACCGAGGAAGCAGGGAAAGTAGACTACAAACGCTCCGCTAAGGCATAGGCAGACTCGAAACTAAAATGCTTATGTTTGATAGATCGGGGGCAATATCTTGAAATATGAAGAAGTAAGGCACCTAGCCTAAATGGGTTTTATTTAATAGTTGAGTTAGTCTTCTCATAATATTATTTTATTTTATTTTGAAATCAATGGAGTCAACATTGTTCCGTAGGCTGTTCTTGGATCACAACGTGAGCCAGACCTGGGCAATTAGTCGTATGATCATATGGGTATGTCTAACAAGAATTCAGACAAATCATCATGCTATTTGTAGATTTTCGCAATTTCAGCCGTGGAACATCTTTACTCAATCTCGGCCGTTCTGGAAACCGTTGAACCCTTGCTACGACTACTACGAAGCCAGTTTCTAGTCATTTACTTAGGAGTAGCTACATCAGGATATGCTTCGGGGCCATGGCGGTGCCACGAAAAGCTGTATTTAGTGTATTTTAACGGTTGGGTGCCCGGGCGGAGCAATGTTGTGACTGATATTCCTACTGCTTCCATTCACCACTTTGCAGCCTGCGACAACAGCCCATCTACCATTCTTCTGCATACGATGAGTAATCGATTTACCGCTCAGACGCATTGATTCCATTATGCTAACATTCAGGCTGTGGCGTTGTATCATCGTAATCTTTATTGGCTGTGTGTGTATTGTGTGTAGTTCAACTTACGTACGATATTCTCTACTAACCAACTACGCCACTTCCAGCCAAACTACCTCGATTTTACTCAATCGTAATATCGTCTTGAGCGCATTTCCCTCGAATATGGCAGTCCCGGATTAGATGAGACTCTGGACAGGTCACACAGCGTTTACGGTGGTCATCCTGCATGGTTCAGCAGACACAGCAGGCTATAATGACTACGACGCTGCCCAACCGGCTACACATTGGACATGAACGGAAAAGAGGTTCTTCGACGGCAGAGAGAAACATGTCACTGACATGTACGTATCATCTCCATTTGAGCACTTGGCGTCCTCTCTATCGTTAGCCAGCACTCTACACTTTCCCCCACTGCCGTTTTACAAGCTATTATTGTAAACCTAAGCCTCAAGAACATTATCTACGGTAAGCGCAATCGGTAAACTGCGGTATGGCAAGAATATCAGACGAGTACGATGACCAACGTAGGCTCAAACGGTACACGAAAGCACTTTGCGCTGTCAAGCTCGAGATGAGTGCCGTTCGCTACACGTTGGACCAAGAACATCGCGGATACAAGCAGCAGGACGATCCGACGATTTACATTCTCGGCGAGCTGAGCGGCCAGAATGTCATTCTTGCGTGTCTCCTCAGCAATCAGGGGAAGGGCGCTGCTGCAAGCGTTGCCACGAACGTGGCCCGCACGTTCCCTTGGATCTGTCGCAAAGGACATAAGGGGGTACAACACACAAAATACTGTGCCGTGGCCACGCCCATTTTTTGTGTGACAGGATCAAGTGGAGATTCATGATTGGCATCGGAGGGGGTGTGCCCAGCGAGAGGCACGACATTCGCCTTGGCGACGTGGTCATCAGCATGCCGCAGGGAGAACATGGCGGTGTTGTGCAATACGACCTGGGCAGGCTTACCGAGGACGATCTTGAGCGGAAGGGCTTTCTCTGCCCGCCGCCAGCAGACTTGAGGCGCGCTGTGGTGACCATGAAGTCGAACCACGTAGGGCAAGACAATAAGAACGATGAAACCGTCTCGGCAATGACACAGAAGTCCACCTCGCCTCAAGACCTACACACGCCCGTTGCCCGCGTCTGACACCCTGTTCAAGGCAGATTATCACCATACTCCTGGCCAGTTAACATGTGCAAAGCGCGGTTCGGACAAGGCCGTCGAGAGACAAGACCGGGAATCTAATTTGCCTGAGGTACACTATGGCCTGATTGCCTCGGGGGATAGTGTTGTCAAAAGTGCCATGAAAAGGGACCGAAATGTCCAAGCCCTGGGCGACGTGCTCTGCTTCGAGATGGAAGCAGCGGGCATTGCCACTGAGCATTCGTGTATCGTCATTCGGGGCATCTCCGAAAATGTCGACTCGCATAAGAACGACGCATGGCAAAAATATGCGGCGGCGACGGCAGCGGCATGTTCGAAGGAACTACTCTCCTGTCTCGACCCATCCCGGTCTCGGGCCGGCGCGGCTCCACCGAAATTGCCCCGTGGCCTCCTGTTATCGGATCCGGGGCCAAGCAGGCTCGGCACTCGGCCCACTTTTGGGGCATCTAGGGGTAATAATTTCTCGGTGGGAGGGTTTTAAGATGAGTATGTAGAGACTGACCTGGCCTTTGGCCTGCCCTGTATCAACCGCCACCAGTATTTCCTTACAAATAAACTGACTTTGCAACGCGAAACAGCTGCTGTCTATGGTGACCAACCCTTGGCGAGGCCACGCCTCATAAGCCGTTCTCGACCGTCCCTTTCCCGCGAGACGAGCATTGTGTCGACCGACATGAGATTTTTGGGTGGCTGCAGAAACAATACGAGCGGCTGGCGTATGTTTCGCACTCGTTGGACTGGGTGGCATCGGGTAAGCCGCCCGTTGCATACCGCTATCGTCTTGTCCTTTGACGTCTAACTGCCCTAGAAAGTCGCAGCTGATTATTCAGTTTGCCTATGAAATCCAAGACCAGATGCCAAGCATATACGTGTTTTGGGGTGCACGCGAGCACCCAAGCTCGATTCAAGGAGGGTTACCGCGAGATTGCAGTTCGACTGAAGTTGCCGCGACTTGATGACCCTCAGACCGGTTCTTCTTCGTCTAGTGCATGACTGGCTGAAGGACGAGCAGAACGGGAGCTGGCCCATGATACTCAATAGTTCAGACGATGTCAATGTCTTTTATCCAAAAACCTCCAGGCAAGGCACGACAGACTCGTCAACGCGGCCTTCTTGCCGCAGAACACCAATTGCAGAATCCTCGTCACCTCACGAAACTCTGATGTAGCCGAGAGGTTAACTGGCCACTACCAAAATCTTCTGAGAGTTCCCTGCATGGATCAAGGCCAAGCCAAGAAGCTGCTCCCGACAGAACTTGGGGCAAAGAATAACCAAATAGGGGCTTCTGACCTTGTTGACGCACTTGAGTCTATGTCTCTCGCGATCACTCAGGCAGCAGCATACATACTCCGGCGGAAGTCTCGACTGTTTGTATCTGAGTATCTGGCTTGAGTTAAAAGGAATAATAAGAGAAAAGCCCATCTCCTCCGCGTGGACAGGGGAGATCTCCGCCGTGACTCTGGCGCCGCAAACTCGGTCGTTACTACATGGCAGATAACATTTGATTAGATTTAATAGGAGCGGCGGTTAGCGGCTGACTTTATTTGTTTCATGAGCTTGTTTAATCCACTGGGAATTCCGGATTGGTTACTTCAAAACTACTAATGCCGGAGACACAAAGATTATAAGGCTGGTATCGATAACTTGAAGCAAGGCGAACCCGATAGAATTGACGATATTTACTCAGAGTTTGAGGATGATTTTGAAATACTTCGAGCATACTCCATGGTTTCGATGACCACGCAGCCACATATTTGTGAGATGCATGCTCCGGTGCAGCTCTGTGCGCGAGATTGGCTTTTAGACGAAGAGCCAGCTTGGAAGAGTATATTTCTGCGTAATATCTCCTTGGATTAACCAATAAGTGCCCCCAAGGTCCGGATAAATGTCGACAACTAGAGCCACATATTATTCTTGTCCTTGAAGAGATTCCATCGAAAGAGGATGCGGAGATTTGGACGGGGCTCCTGAACAAAGTAGCAACGTACCGGGTGGAAATGGGAGACTATTCCATGGTAGAGAAGATATCAAGGAACGCGGTCAACAAGATGGAGAAGATTCTATGTATAGCGCATCCCGAAATAATCATGAGCGTTCTGCTTCTTACAGCAGTGCTTTACCTCCAGAAGAATTTTGAGGAGTCTGAGCTCATGCTTGAACGGGCCTCTGACCTTATTTTTGAGGGGTTTACTGAGAGTTATATCCCTAGGAGCGAAATCCTTACGAAGTCTGCCACAGAGCTAGACCGACAAGAAAAATATGAGGCTAAGAACAAAAACCAACAGCCTCTAAATGACGATGAGTTGGACTGTTTCTCAATTGTTGAGGTTTTGCTGCTTCTAATTGATGGCCTTTCTGTAAGCCCAGGATATCGAGGCATGAAGACAAGGACCGAGAAGTTGAAAAGACTGTGTGTTGATACCTTTGAGAAGCTCCTTTGCGAGGAGTATTGCGATAGGCTTGTGCAACTTGACATACTTGCCACAGGCCTAAACGGGCAGGGCAAATATGAAGAGGCCGAACAAATCAATTGGAGACTCATCGATGGCTTTAAGATGTCTCTCAATGGCAAACGGTGCATCTACACACCTTGTGAAACAGTGCTACCGTTACAACTGACTGTGATCTCATCATGTACAGTGACAAGAGTCAGTGTCAAGCTATGGCCAGAAATATAGGGTTGATTCGAGACACTATTCGGTGCTATGTTGAACAGCTCTACTCTATGGTTCCCACTTCAAATACACTAGGAATGCATGTACCTATCCAGGCTCTAATCGTAGACAAGTGCACGATATCATGCAGTGGCCAAACTCGACAAATCCAACACGAGATCGAAGGTCGATTATGGCTTATGAGCTTTGGTAAGCACTACTTTCCATCGCGTTGTCTGCAAAACTGCCGAAAAATGGCGCTGACAACATATCACTTGGTGGGCGGGAGATGTAATCCAAAGCCCAACTTACTCGGAAATTCATTGATGCCTGAGCTGGTGTGACTAAAAGCGGCGGTGCAATGCGTCTTGTCTAACGTTTAGTTTCGGTTATATAGGGTTCTGTACCCTTTGTACCTGTTGGCTAGGTGCAAGTCTCGCAAGTGACGTCATTTAGAGGTTTTTCCTGGTCGGAAGCTGAGCAGTTCGGGGTGCTCAACATTTTTCGAACTACGGGCATCGTAAGGCAGCAGAGCAGTTTTGTATCTACCATCGCTAGCCTTCTGCTGAGGAAGAAGACCGACAAAGCCCTAGAGACTGCCTAGCAGAGAACCCTTCCAACACTTCTAGCACCGCGTCTCTACCACGTATTACAAGGTCATACGAGTTACACCGCACATCCGTAAGGTGCAAGTTAGTCACTTGGCCATGGCTTGGAGGCCAAGCCTGCTATTGGTAGAGTTCGGCATCCATTTGCCGTGTTGTGCCAAATTAAGCTTTTGGGTTATCGATTCCAGATTTCGTGGCTATCGCAAAGCCCGGAGCTGAAGCGTAAGCCAGTCCTTACTCCCAAAGGCTGTTTAGCTTTCGAGGTAGTGAACAGGGCGCGCGGCACTGGAAAATTGGCAAACCAAAACGCCTTGGGAATATTATTCACGCCAATCCGGTACTCAACCGCCGACAGGTAAAGTGGAACACCCATTAGCCGGCCTCCGACACGTGTAAGAGATCCCCGATCAGATGTTCAATAATATGCATGAGTTAAATGGACAATCCCAGGTGAATTCTCACCAAACGCTTTGGGCTATAAAGGCTCCCCTTGCACCCAGACTATGCTACGCAAACCTTGCCCAACCAGTAGATTCAACAGCCACCTGCATCACCATGAAAATCTTTGCTAATACGATAAGCATTCTCGCCGGACTTGGGCTGGCAATTGACTTTCCAGCGTGTAAAAGGGTACGCATACGGCACGCGATAGATATTAATGATGTTAATGCAATGAGGCTAGCCATCGAGCGAATGCGTCATCGCATGCCCACATAATCAGTGCCGCCCCGGCTATGTTTGCTGCGTAACAGATTGTGGAGGCCGTATTTGTGTAAGTCTGTCGAAGTGGTATATCCAATAGCGTACTAATGTGTTTAAATTCTAGGAACCTGTAAGTGCTTCGTGCATGAAGCATGTCGAGCGATGGGCTAATTATTTTTCACATGTATAGATTGAACCCAAGTGTGACAAGGACTCAAGAAGGGCTTAGATTGAATAGCTCAGTTCATCTAATAACAGTCTTTGGTATTAAAGGCTATTATTGAAGCTAGGGATTAAAACCGGGCGGCGTCCTTTCTAGATATGGGGTGAAGACATTGCTGTCAAGACGGCAGTTAGTTCAAGAAGGGTGAGATGACCAAAGGGCAAGCTTAATAGCATTAGCCAAGGACTACTTGAATTGGCTTTGTTACTATTGCTGAAGGGGGAACATTACAAGATTTGTATACGACGACCCTCAAACCAGCAGAAATATTAGTGTAGCAATTGTAAATTCCCTACGCAACAACCACACCATAGAAGCGGGATTACATTTATTAGAGGTAACACTATCGTAATGGTGTTGCTATAGAGGGGAGAAAGCAAGATTTGAAGCCCTTTACATAGTACCAGGGATTTTAGTCGTGTAAGATATTGCACTTCAGGTTCCGAAACTAATTATTAGGATTATATACTACGGGCTGCCCGCAACAACCAAGACGCTTGCCTGCTTGCTACAACAAGTCAAAGCAAGTAGACCACGTGATGACGACGACGTCCTATAAAAGGTCAAATCTACTGAAAAAGAAAACAGGAATTCATTAACCCCATATTCTATTCTTAAGAAAATTTTTTTTATATCTATTCGTGGGAACTCAACGCTACACACGTCGATTCCAGCGTTTAAGTAACTATTTCTATCCAACCTCCCGTTCCCAGAACTTAACACGGCTACTAGTAAGACGCTCAACATCGTTAAGCCAGGCAAAAAAAAAATAATTGATGTATTTTCACATACAACACTAGGTGTTCGCTAGTCGTCACCGACCTAGCTACTAATCCAGCGCTCACTAGGTTCTCGTGGGAGATCGGACGGGATCCTAAGCTTTCTAGCGGCTGTGGTCGTATGTAAGGACAGTATTGATAGTTATCATATATACAGGTGATTAATCTGACGGTGGTCCAAGTCGTAACTGCTCAGTGCAGCTCTGGCTAAGCCTCCATTTTCCGGCATCCTTGGAATGTCTCAAATGGCCGAAATAGCGGTCACACAAGCCCAGCAGAAAATGCGTAATCTATTCAACAACAGTATCAACGAAAGGTGGCGGCGAGACCTGAAAACTAGCTGCGGCAGCTGAATCGGCAAAATCAACCATCATCAAAAGCATCAACTAGCCGGGCCGCTTAAATAGTGATAGGTTTGCCCTCCAGATGGCTTCAATTTTGGACCAAGTCCACTATCAATCACATCTATAGGGCGCATATAGTAACAGACAGGGTTCTCCTGCCAACAACTGCCACATGAAGAGGCAGTGATGAGTCATGACTCATCACTAGTCATCTGTTACGAAATAAAAGGTCAGATCAGTGAGTATGTAATGGTTGTTTTTCTTGAGCCATCTGGGTTGCTAGAAGTCCTATAAAAGGGGGCCAGTTCGGGCGTTCTAGGTGCCTACATATGTAAGGCAGCCACCTGTGACAACAGGTCAAATCGGCACTTTATTTCGTAACAGATGCCGGTTCACAAGGGAAGAAATAGCTGCCCCAGCTATATCTAACTAGAGTCGCTAGAATAGCTAGGATATCTAAAGTGCCTAGAATAGCTACTATAACTAGGCTTCATTTGAAGGGACTGGCCGGGTCCAAATTGAGCGTTGCTGACAGGCCCGTATCGAAGGTCACGGGCGGGCTCGGTTTGAACGTTGTGGCCGGGATTGAAAGGAACGTCGTGGCCAGGACTGAAATAAGCGTTATGGCCGTATTGAGGATTGCGGCAGAGCTGTTGAGATTCAGGCTGTTGAGCCGGGTGGTCAAATTCAGGGCTTTGAGCCGGGCTTGATTGAAGCTGTTGAATTTGACGAGCTTCGAGCCGGGATGGAAGGTCCCTGCCGGGTTCAATTGGAAGCTTCTGGCAGGGCTTGATTAGAAGCTTCTGGCCGGGCTCAGATTGAAGGTATTGACTAATCTGACCGTGTAAGTCATAGGCAGGCGCGGACTGAATTAGCTGACCATGCTTAAATAGAGTCATATAGCCGTTCTTAAGTTGCATAATAATACCAGGTTCAATTGGAAGGCTAACATCGGTGAATTGAAAGTCCCTGCCGGGCTCGATTAGAAGGCCCCTGCAGGGCTCGGATTGAAGCCGCTGGATTGAATTCCTTTGAATTGGGCGGCCTTGCTGCTGGGCCCGATACCAAGCTCGTTGGGCTTGGTCTCTCCAATAGTCACAGTCTTGTTGAAGCTTCTAATGTTGCTGCCACTAGCCCCAGTACCAGTTTTAGAGGCTCTTTTCCTGCTGCTGGAGGTAGGTCTGTTGAGCCTCTAGGGCTTGCAGCTGCTGCTGGTATCTTTGGTATTGAGGGCTAGCTAGGCAGAGCTCTTGAAGATGCTGGAAGACCTGATTTCTTGACTGGAAGGTCTTCCTGTAGATGCCACAAGTACGGCGCTGTTGATCCTTGTGATAGAGCTGTTAGAGCCGCTGTTACTCCAGTTGATCAAGCCTGTCTAGGGGGATCATTTTGAAAGGGCTTGTGGCTGCAGCCGATATCGAGGGATTTGGCCGGATTGAACAGGGCAGCCGGATCGAACAGGGCGGTCGGATTGACAGAGCTGTTGAGGGATATCGAGGGTTGCGACCAGATTGAACAGAGCAGTTAGATTGACAGTAATATCCAGGGATTTGGCCGGGCTGAACAGAGCTATCGAGAGATATCGAGAGCTATGACCGGATTGAACAGGGCAGCCGGATTGACGATAGACCTGACGATTTCGTGTACGATCTTGTGGTCCACTACAACCTGGGAAAAGCTATAGCTGCCACAGCTCTTGAGGTCATTGCAAGAGGCTGATTGAGGGTGCGTGCCGTACGGTCCTAGTAAAAGGGACGGCTTTGACGGGCGGGCTTGATTGAATTGGTTGACAGGGTCGATTTGGTAAGGGTCCTAGTAAGCTAGGTAGGGTCCTTGAATAGCAAAGCAAACGAACAATTGCTACCACTTGTTACGAAATAAAAGGTCAGATCAGTGAGTGGGTAGTGGTTGTTTTTCTTGAGCTATCTGGGTTGCTAGAAGTCCTATAAAAAGGGGCTGGTTCGCGCGTTCTAGGTGCCTAAGACAGCCACCTGTGACAACAGGTCAAATCGGCACTTTATTTCGTAACATCATCGTTATGTTCAAGTGATAACTCTGCCTTGGCTAATCTTATTGCTGTTCTTTCAGCACGAATTTCGGCTTGTTTTTCAGCACTCCAGAATCTAGATTGGTATTTGCGCGTATTCTTGAATCGCTTTGCTGTTTTCACAGCTCTTTTTTCAGCAGCAGAAGCTCTTTCCTGCGCTACTAGTTCTGCTTCGCCTGGTGATATTAGTGGGATTGGAGATCTTGCAACTTCTTCCATGAGCTGTAATTTCCCATCTCTGTCTCCTTTGGCTTCTGCTTGATGCTGGCTGGCTTTTATACCAAGAAGTAAAAGAGCTCGTAATGTGAAATTTGCATCATTGCCACCATTATGAAGCCAACTATATGGACGCCCAAGTTCAGTAAGGAGTTCCCCAAGAGTAAGAGAAAAGTATGGAAGAACTTGACTCGTAATTCTAAAAGTATCAAGACACTGTAGTCCTTGTAGATTAAACCCTAGATCTGATAGAACATGAACCTCATGTCTAACATCATGTCCAACAAGAATGATATTTCGATCTATAGGAATAAGAGCCTTAATTTGATCAAGAACCTTACTAAGTTTTATCCAGGCAGGCCTCCCAAATAAAAATTTAAGCATAGCCTTGCGATAGTATTTTGGTGATCCAGTCACAAAATTATATATTGATATAAGCTTTTCAGGAGATATAGCTGTAGAAATATCTCTGGTATCAAGAATCGCAAGACCAAGTTGCGTATCCACATTACGAGAAAGGTCTCCCCTAAACTGAATATTATTCTCAAAGTCAATTGCCACGAGAATAGTGTCTTGGTAACGTAATGGTGCCTCTTCTTTAGGACCTAGGATCTGAAGGAGGATCTCTAGACCATTTTTGGCTATTTGGTAGGTGGGCTCGCGTATTTGGACTTGATCTTCCATGGTAGGGATTGAAATTAACGTGGAGTAAGGTTACTAAGACCTTACTAACCGTATATAATGTGCCTAGTGATGAGAAGTCGTGAAAGAATAGGCATGAGACCTTGAACCCAATGAGGCTTAAAGGTTTGCAGTTTGTCCGGCTTTAAGGGTATAAGGTATCAATGCTTGGGGCGCAAAAGGCAAATTAATTTGCATAGTAATCGCTATCGCGTAATCAAGAGCCCCTTTGATCAGCGATGTGAATCAAAATATGCGAAGTAGTGTTTGATGATCCGGCGGTGCAAGCTGAGAGAGGGTTTGGAGGGAACTCAGCGCGATAGTCGAAGAGAGCAGTGCGATTAATGGTCAAAGAGAGCAGTGCGATTAATGGTCGAAGAGAGCAGTGCGATTAATGGTCGAAGAGACGGCCTTGCTGCTGGGCCCGATACCAAGCTCGTTGGGCTTGGTCTCTCCAATAGTCACAGTCTTGTTGAAGCTTCTAATGTTGCTGCCACTAGCCCCAGTACCAGTTTTAGAGGCTCTTTTCCTGCTGCTGGAGGTAGGTCTGTTGAGCCTCTAGGGCTTGCAGCTGCTGCTGGTATCTTTGGTATTGAGGGCTAGCTAGGCAGAGCTCTTGAAGATGCTGGAAGACCTGATTTCTTGACTGGAAGGTCTTCCTGTAGATGCCACAAGTACGGCGCTGTTGATCCTTGTGATAGAGCTGTTAGAGCCGCTGTTACTCCAGTTGATCAAGCCTGTCTAGGGGGATCATTTTGAAAGGGCTTGTGGCTGCAGCCGATATCGAGGGATTTGGCCGGATTGAACAGGGCAGCCGGATCGAACAGGGCGGTCGGATTGACAGAGCTGTTGAGGGATATCGAGGGTTGCGACCAGATTGAACAGAGCAGTTAGATTGACAGTAATATCCAGGGATTTGGCCGGGCTGAACAGAGCTATCGAGAGATATCGAGAGCTATGACCGGATTGAACAGGGCAGCCGGATTGACGATAGACCTGACGATTTCGTGTACGATCTTGTGGTCCACTACAACCTGGGAAAAGCTATAGCTGCCACAGCTCTTGAGGTCATTGCAAGAGGCTGATTGAGGGTGCGTGCCGTACGGTCCTAGTAAAAGGGACGGCTTTGACGGGCGGGCTTGATTGAATTGGTTGACAGGGTCGATTTGGTAAGGGTCCTAGTAAGCTAGGTAGGGTCCTTGAATAGCAAAGCAAACGAACAATTGCTACCACTTGTTACGAAATAAAAGGTCAGATCAGTGAGTGGGTAGTGGTTGTTTTTCTTGAGCTATCTGGGTTGCTAGAAGTCCTATAAAAAGGGGCTGGTTCGCGCGTTCTAGGTGCCTAAGACAGCCACCTGTGACAACAGGTCAAATCGGCACTTTATTTCGTAACATCATCGTTATGTTCAAGTGATAACTCTGCCTTGGCTAATCTTATTGCTGTTCTTTCAGCACGAATTTCGGCTTGTTTTTCAGCACTCCAGAATCTAGATTGGTATTTGCGCGTATTCTTGAATCGCTTTGCTGTTTTCACAGCTCTTTTTTCAGCAGCAGAAGCTCTTTCCTGCGCTACTAGTTCTGCTTCGCCTGGTGATATTAGTGGGATTGGAGATCTTGCAACTTCTTCCATGAGCTGTAATTTCCCATCTCTGTCTCCTTTGGCTTCTGCTTGATGCTGGCTGGCTTTTATACCAAGAAGTAAAAGAGCTCGTAATGTGAAATTTGCATCATTGCCACCATTATGAAGCCAACTATATGGACGCCCAAGTTCAGTAAGGAGTTCCCCAAGAGTAAGAGAAAAGTATGGAAGAACTTGACTCGTAATTCTAAAAGTATCAAGACACTGTAGTCCTTGTAGATTAAACCCTAGATCTGATAGAACATGAACCTCATGTCTAACATCATGTCCAACAAGAATGATATTTCGATCTATAGGAATAAGAGCCTTAATTTGATCAAGAACCTTACTAAGTTTTATCCAGGCAGGCCTCCCAAATAAAAATTTAAGCATAGCCTTGCGATAGTATTTTGGTGATCCAGTCACAAAATTATATATTGATATAAGCTTTTCAGGAGATATAGCTGTAGAAATATCTCTGGTATCAAGAATCGCAAGACCAAGTTGCGTATCCACATTACGAGAAAGGTCTCCCCTAAACTGAATATTATTCTCAAAGTCAATTGCCACGAGAATAGTGTCTTGGTAACGTAATGGTGCCTCTTCTTTAGGACCTAGGATCTGAAGGAGGATCTCTAGACCATTTTTGGCTATTTGGTAGGTGGGCTCGCGTATTTGGACTTGATCTTCCATGGTAGGGATTGAAATTAACGTGGAGTAAGGTTACTAAGACCTTACTAACCGTATATAATGTGCCTAGTGATGAGAAGTCGTGAAAGAATAGGCATGAGACCTTGAACCCAATGAGGCTTAAAGGTTTGCAGTTTGTCCGGCTTTAAGGGTATAAGGTATCAATGCTTGGGGCGCAAAAGGCAAATTAATTTGCATAGTAATCGCTATCGCGTAATCAAGAGCCCCTTTGATCAGCGATGTGAATCAAAATATGCGAAGTAGTGTTTGATGATCCGGCGGTGCAAGCTGAGAGAGGGTTTGGAGGGAACTCAGCGCGATAGTCGAAGAGAGCAGTGCGATTAATGGTCAAAGAGAGCAGTGCGATTAATGGTCGAAGAGAGCAGTGCGATTAATGGTCGAAGAGAGCAGTGCGATTAATGGTCGAAGAGAATAGTGCGATGGTCGAAGAGAATAGCGCGATAGTCGAAGAGAGCAGTGCGATTAATGGTCAAAGAGAATAGTGCGATGGTCGAAGAGAATGGTGCGATGAGAAGAGAACAGCAAGCGGGGTTATTGGGGAAGAGCTGTGCTACGTATTAAGTAAGCCAGGTTATTGGGGTAGGAGGCTCAGCGTGGTTTCAAAGGCACTTGTCTGGCGCAGCGGCTGCAGACGCAGCGCGGGTGACTCGACCTACAGTGGGTGTAGCGTTCCCAGCTTGAACTGGTGCGGGCTAATGTATCAGCACCCTGGACAAGATGGCTTACCATTGCCCCGCCTCCGGTGACGGTCACAGCACCTGAGCCGCGTGGAGTTCGATTCCCACACCGGGCATTTATTTTTAATCCTTTTTGTCTGGGTTGCCCCTTTCCTGCTGCAAAAGAATGATCACATAAACGCGTCAGCCTTAAACAAAGGACAGTGGAGCTCTAGAATTGCACAGTTTGCGTAGGGATTCACTCCGTCACATTTCACTTTTCGCCAAAAAATCCAGCGCCCACCTGGAAATAATCAGGGGCCTAGTGAGTGCCTGTATCGTATGGCAAAGAAATTTGGTACAAGGCTAGTGCCGGAGGCCCGGAGCTATAATTATGCGTCCGTTACAACAGATGACCGTGCGATATGGAGGCAAACCGTAATCTTCCCACACCAATACTAGGTTCGCTGTCCTCCAGAAACGGACACCACATCCTCCATTTATGGAAGCACACTCCTCCATATTTGGAGGCATTTAAACATTGGAGAAGGGCTTGACGGGATCCTGAACTTTGCTAGTGGCTGTGGTCGTATGTATGAGAAGAGGGCGTTATTTCATATTATATTCTTAGGCTTGGGAGAATTAAAATAAAAACAAGGCAAAAAAACATACAACACTGGGTATTCGCTGGCCGTCCAGCCAGTCCTATCTAAAAGGTCAACTGGTCCTTATTGCCTGCTGACCCACTAGAACCCCCACCGCTCAAATTGCCACAACTACTACAACTACTATATCATTAGTACTTGTGCTGAGAGAGGTTATGTATTCCTGGTTGTCCTGATAGTGTCGGTACAAAAAGAAAGAGTACTGTACTATACCAAGCCAGTTTGTAAGCAGCTTGAACGTGTTGTCCTATGTTCATTACGCAAACCAGAGTGCGCGGACCCAGGTCTAACGCTTAGGTAGTACTTTCAGGCACTTGAAAGATAACAGGCATGTCTGAGTCGTGGTATATAGCTCCCTTTAGCAGATAGTGCAGAACATCAAAATTCCATCCTATTAGCTTTAGCTTTTTTTTTTAGCGTATGAGCGCCGGGCTCTAGAACTGACTTAGTACATAGAGGTACTTGAAAGATGACAATGGTACACAGCTAATTGTGGCCTTATCGCAAGCTCGTATAGTGTATTCAAGTATAGCCATAATTAGCCACAACCCCTTCCCCAAGTACATTATCCATTCTGTGGGTACTAAATAGTATTGAAATTACGCACAGGAACATTTAAAATGCCAAAAGGGGAGAAGCTCACCTCACAGCTGGTACCGTAATAGAGCTACAGAAAGCGCGATTGTGAAGCCATTCTCTACCACGTATATGGGGTGTCACATCTGCACTGCTATGTACCGTTCCAGTGTTAAGACTTGATGCGCTTTGGGCGCTTCTTTACCAGCTATAGCAATGGATAGGACATGGTGGATGGAGCAACTTGAATACTATTCATTTTGTACTAGCCATAGTAGTGGTGGTGGACGCTGGTCTCTGGTAACGCAGCCGTGGCAGGGCCGGATCTCCAGCCTCCTATCCCTTTAACCCCTGTGAAACCTCTTTTCCAAATTTTAGTATACAATCTACTTTTATGTAAAGAAAGTCTAAATTTTATATTCAAGTCATCTAAGAAAATAAACGTAAAATTAACTTAACGCGTTTTATTTAAATTAGAATACTAGCTTTAACCTTTAAAATACCTGTTCGGAAAAAGAAATAAAAAACTAGATGTTTCGAATTTCTATATAAATTGGTCTAACGTTTAACTCTTATATTACAGAAAACATAGTATCTCTGGAGGTGTGGGAGAACTTGACATGGGATCCAGAGATCACCAAGTTGGGAGAGTAGGGGGCGGAGCTCAAGAGGGGCTAGTATCGCTTTGGCGGCCAAGGACAATAAACAGTACTGCCCTTCGCCAAATGCCCTCACATACGACGCTCCTTACCCCGCATCACCTCAGGCTGGTCCAACACTCGATGAGAAGCACCGACAACAGACTGTTGAAGCTTTCCCGAGCCGGGCTCGTGATGCCGCCAAGTAGAAATACAGGCGGCCGCGTGGACACCGCATCGCTGGCAAGCGGGCGCCATGTCTCAGATATAATGGACTCCAAAGCTCCGAGCTTCCCACTCAAGCCTGCAGAGTAGACTGCACCCACTTCACAATACCTCCCTTGGCGATGATTTCCTGGACATTAGGAGGCATCTCACCCACCTTTTGCACCCAGGAGGTGCCATCCTGCTCCGTAATAGTAACCTGAGACCGGCGGACATCCCACAGCAGCTTCCAGCCCGTTCGACGAGTCAGAGGCTTCTCTGCATCATTCTTATACGCTTCACGAAGCCGCTCGACCAGTTTAGGCATTTCAAGTCCAAGAAGAGCATTGTTAATACCTGTATTATTCCATAAATTAGTGTCCCAAGTGAATTAACATATTGCCAAAGGCGCTTACTATTGCGGCTAAAGATGGAGCTAAAGCTGCCGGCAATAACGAGAGGAATCTTGTTAGCTAGGATAGAAGTAGCAGCCTGCTCCCTAGACGAACCAGAGCCGAAAGTATACCCGGCTACCAGTATATCCTTTGGTCGAATGATATTGCGGAAATTAGTATCGTAGTTCTCCATGCACACCTCGGCCATTTGCTCTGTCGTCATGCCATCCTGGTATGTATAGCGTCCGGGATAGATACCATCAGTATTAATGTTATCATTGTCGCCTGTTGCGGTTAGCGAACAACTCATCTTGCGAGCACTGACCAATTCCTTACAGAAAACAATCTCGCCCTCAATTTTCTCGGGGAAGCCTGGTAGAACATCCGTCAAGACCTCGTCTCCAGTAGCCGTTGGGCTTGCTACTGCCTCGGCGGCGCCTTCAGCGGCGCTGATCATGCTCTCCATCTCGCCAATGAGCTTTTCAAAAGCATCCCCAGTGGAGCGAGCCTTATCGGCTACAAAATCACCGGTGCCCTCGCCAACAATGACCTTCTCAACGCCATCAGGCTTCGAGTACCACCCAGGGGAAGCGATCTGGCCTTTGATAGCACAAGCGGCAACCACCTCGGGGCTGGCGAGATAACACGATGCTTTGGGGCTGCCTAAACCAACAAGTCAGTGCCACTTCAAACAGAAGTAAAAGCTCAGCGAAATTACCCATGCGTCCTTTGTAGGATCTGTTGCTTGCCGATATGCCCACTTCACCTTCTTCCAGCAAGCCCTAAGCGAACGATTAGCCATGACATCTAATTATAAACAGAGGGTTTCGAATACTCACACGACCCAGGCCAATGCAAGTAGCACAGCCGGCGGGAAGAAGCTCGGCCCCAGATTGAACAAGAACCTGCCAGTCACCAGCTTCCTCCGACATTCGTTGTTCAGCCACAGACGCTGGCGCAAGATAGAGCTTGACCCGGGGGTGGATCTTGGCAGGTTTGCCATTGGTACCAGCCTCGCGGAAGACACGAGCAGCAGCTGCAAAGTCCGTGCTCCTGCCATTGGTGCAACTCAAGAGATAGGCTTTGTCAATAGCGATATTCTCAGTTTCGAGCTTTGCAACAGGGTTTGCGACATTGACCGAGTTGGGTCCGGCAACGAAGGGTGAAAGAGTAGAACTGCGTTATGTTAGATAATGGGTGTGAGCGACACAAGTGCGTCTCTTGCTTACAGATTCAGATAAAATTCTTTCGCGTACACGGCACCAGGATCAGCTACGGGAGAGGTTTCTAGAAGCTCATCAATCCGCTTATGATTTAGACGAGACTTGGTAGGGCTATCAGTAATTGCTGCGGCCGATGCTCTGGCACGGTACCAGGAAACAAGCGTGTTGTCGACGGGGAAGAGTCCTAGTCAACATGAGTTACTCAGCAAAGTCGTGGCCTGGAAAGGAGACAAACCTGATAGCGCCCCCCATTCGCAAGCCATATTTGAAATAGTTAATCTTTCCGAAACGGGTATGCTTGCAAGAGTCTGCTCAGAGCCCGTGAACTCGACGCACATGTTCAGCACATCGGACTTGAGGAAGGTGCAGAGCGCAATGATGACATCTTTGCCTGTGACTCCGGGTGGCAGGACGCCTGTAAATGTGACTTTTGCAATCGGCGGGACTTGCCAGAATATGGTCGAGGTCGCAAGAATACTCGCTGCATCTGAGCGAACAATGGCGGGGCGGAGACAGCCGATGCCTCCGTAGATGGTCGAATGGCTGTCACTGGCAACTATCCCGTGTGTGAGTGGCCGACAGGAAAACGGTTTTTTCCCTTTCTATTTTTTTTCTACAAGAATGCAAGCAACGTACCTGTGAGTGTTCCTGGCCATGCATAACCTTCTTCAATCATTATTTGGTGGCCAATTCCAGTCTTGGCAGGATCTATCCCAAGTAAGCTAAATACTTTGGAAAGTTGCGCCTCGGCGCGGCGAGCATACAGAAATCTATGCCATGCTTGTTGGCGAACTCCTCGATTAGACGATATTTGCGCAGATTCTGGTCAGATTCGTTCTGCACATCGTGATCAAGTCTGGGATCGTTAGACAGTATACCGAGGTCAGATAGCAAGAAAGAGGTAGCTTACGCCATGACAACCTGGCGATTATCGCTGACCGATATGGCGCCCATTTCCATGAATCTAGACATATTAATTCGTGTATTCTTACAAAGAGCTAACTACTTACTTAGTAATTACAGGGAACGAGTTGTCGTGGGTCATACTCTTGTGAGGACTGGCAACAAACTAATGTCAGCTCGATTGTCCAGTGGGCGGACCAGGGCTAGACTAACCGCAGCATCACATAGTCCCCAGCTCTGACTCTCCTGCCTTGGCCGAGGCCATCTGCGTGAAGTTGTACTATCTTCTCGGTAAGTGTCTGCGGGTTCGTTCGAGCGGCGGAGTCTAGGGAGGACTGGAGGTGAGGGGTGTTGGAGCTGGTGTTAGATTGTAATTGCCGGGCCTGTTGCTGTCGGGGACAGGTTGAGACATGGCTGCGAAACGGATTCACAGATCCGGGCAACAATCGGAAGCGAGTAATCGAGGTACGGGCCTGTCGCGTTGCAAGGACGGAGGCATTGAGCCAGATCGCCCTCCGCTAATGAAACACAGTTAGACATGTTGTTGCAGGTTTTCGATGAAAGCAGGATGAAATCGAGAATTGGTGGTTGGTAGAGCAACATACAAGCACAGCCATGGTAGTTGGAAGATGGTGAATCTCGAGATCACGGATGAGTAACTCGATGTTGAATTTCAGATGATTAGTAACCCCGAATTTTATTGCGGGGCGCGGAATTCCCGCGCCGACCAATCATAGCAATGCTATTGCACGCGTTTGCCAAGAGAAAACGCAACTTGAACCAACATTACCTAATTAACTAGGTGGTCTTCTCCCTCGTACTGTTCTCATCGCCAAGAACTTTGGACGGCCGGACAGGCCACCCAACCATCTCCACAGTAGCTAGTAGTTATCGTTGTACGTAGGGTGTAGAAACGGGTACCCCTAGATACACGTAGGTATTTAAGCTTTTCTTAGGTTCTTTATAAGTTATTTATTATTTTATATAAAGAATTTCTTAAAACAATCTTAAATATTAAAAAGTACTTATAATATTACTTATTATAACTTATTAATAATACTTATATATTAAATTAAATTAAGTAAGTTAAATTTAAAATAAATACTTAAAATCACTTAAGATCACTTCTAAATAATTATAAATCACTTATTTTTCTTTATAAATATATTTAAGTTTTTTTTTCTTACTTATACTTAAAGCCCACGAATAAGCGACTTATTTGAAGTTATACGTTATACTAGTATTCGTGGACCTTTTACACCTTAATTGTACGACAGAACTCGACTAAAATCGGTATTAGAGGACGCGCAGTTTTCCCCGAATAGAGCGATTATGTAAGGTGATTAGGGGACCCCGCCTACCTGTAACGCGATTAATAACGTTACGTGAAATAGAAGCTTTAAAACTATATCTCTTATATCTTATATAATTAAAAAATAAAATAAGCTTTAATTATTATAATATAATTACCCTTACTTTAATTACTTAACTTTTAATCTCTCTTATAATC